ACTAAGAATCCTTCTGGTTGAAGCTGTCCTTGAAGCTGCTCCAGGGCTATGGGCAAGTGACTATTGGGAGCCTGAGGCTTAACCTCTGATACATGACATCCTGTTTTCATTGTGTTTCACTGGAGACTGTGGGGAAGCAGTCCCTAGGTCTCCCCAGGAACAATACACACTCAGAAGTCTACTCGTAGGTGTACATGTAAATTCCAATTTTATTTGAGAAACCTTCATACAACCCAGAGAGTAATCACTCCTCATCTTGAGGAAAAAAAAAAATCAAAGACTTATGAACAATTAGGCCTTTTTTTTCCCTGTTTGTCTGACTTTAGTCCTTAGAATTCATTATACTGTTCTAACAATAAACTAAACCAAATAAATTTATTCTAAATAAACTTTAGACATAAAGATTATTCTGTCCTGATGTGCCAAGCCCTTACACGATTCTGTGGACTTGACTGAGGCTAAAGAAATGACAGACAGACAGACAAGCTGGGATCGGGTATACTAGACCCTCTGGTTAAGAAGATGCAGTACTCTGACAGCTAATTGTGTTTATTTTATAGAGCTGAACAAGGAGGCAGGGTATATGGTGTGTGTGTGTGTGTGTGTGTGTGTGTGTGTGATGTATGGCTAGATCAGGAGACAGGTTTAAACTCTGTTGGGGGCCAATCTTCAGATCATAAATGTGGACATCTGGGAAGAAAGGTATGGCAGATGTCTTCTGTATACATGCTCAGTTTCACTCTTGGACCAGAGGAAGGCTTTGCCATGCCTCTGAGCCTGTCCCCTGAGGAGCAAGGAGACTTTGCCATTTTCCCATGGGTATGAGGCTGTTGCCTTAGACATGACTGTGCCCATGTCAGCAGCACACATTCACTCATGCTGATACCGTAGTCTGTCCCACCAAAAGCTCATGTTACCTGGACCAGGAGTAAAGGAGAGGGATAACCTGTGAACATGGGTGACTGAGAACAACAGAGGCCTGGCTCACGGGTGACATTGCCGGTCCCGCTAAAGAATCATGTCCCCTCACTTGACTTGGAGCACCTTGAGTGAGATGAGGAGCTTTACTGCTTTCTGCCACTATCATTGCCCAGACCTGTGCGCTGTCCTCATGGACAGAAGACTGCCAGAGTCCTTGTTCTTACCGCCTGCCCCCCACCCAGCACCTTTCTGGGGGCAGACACAGATGAAAACTGACTGTCTAGCATTATCACTATTTACTTGTGGGTCAGCAGCTATTAGTACTCTATTTGATAAGAGATTGGAAGCTTGGGAAAGTTTAGAAATTTTCCCAGGATCCTCCAGCTGGAAAATGACAGTCCCAGGAGAGGAGTCTGCCGCCTCTGGTCTCTCTGACATGATTCCTCTTAAGCATCAGACTCAGGAAAAGTGTGTTTCACACTGGAGATTTCTTTTCCCTCAACTAGTTGTGTGGCCACAGTCACACAACCTCTCAGACCCTCGCGTTACAGATATTTAAAATAGGAGAGCTGGGCTGAGTCATCAAAATATCGTTTTCATTAGCAGTGCTTGTGTGCCATGTGTTAAAATAAGTCTAACCTGTTGTCCACAAATCTCATCTGGTCAGTGCTTTGGAATCCACTTGTAAACATAAACAACTCTGACCACAGCATACAATTCAGCAATCATTTAGTGAGTGTTGGCTATAGGAACAGCAGGGCTTTACCCAGTCCCCAGAGCCCCTGAGGCTTTCTCTGGGAGATAGGAGGCACCACAACCTGGGTAGCAGTCCACACTCTCCATCATTTTCTCCTTAGCCCCTCCTTCTCTGTCAAGTTGATTCCAGTGATCCATCTTTGTTCAGTAATAATCAGTCCTTCAGGTGGGGGAGGGAGGTGTCTCAGTGGTAGAGCGCTTACTTGCCTAGCATGTCCAAGTGCCCTGAGTTTAATCCCCAACAAAGGGGGGTAGGGTACTTAGAGAAGTCAAGGTTTTATGCGTGTGATCCTGTCAAAGACCAGGCAAGAAACAGAAATCACCTTGTAGAGCTTAGTACTAAAGCCTCTGTGATAACTCAGGGGATTCATTCAGAAACAGTTGTTCCTGTAGAAAGGGCAACCAAGCTGTGATCAGAGCAGTAAGTGTAAGTGTAAGTGCGGCTTCCGGGAAGGCCAGAATGATGCTGCACTTGGGCATTTGCCTGGGGATTGGAAACACCTGGGGATCCCAAAATATTTTCCAGGGGACCATGAGATCAAAGCTGCTTCCCCACCCCCACCCCCAGACATGGTTTCTCTGTGTTACAGCTCTGGTTGTTCTGGAACTCACTTTGTAGATCAGGCTGACTTCAAACTCACAGAGCTCTGCCTGCCTCTGCCTCCCAAGTGCTGGGGTCAAAGTTGTGTGCCACCACCATCCACCTTCAAAGCCACATTTTTGTTGCCTTGTTATTGTTGTTTGTTGCTATCTCAGTGTGGTTTCAGTCTGGTGTCTAGCTCCCTGGGCTCAAACTACCTTCTTGCCTCAGGCTCTTGATGCCAGAACTGTCAAGCCTGACTCAAAATTATTTCAACAAAAACACTAATACACAATGTGCCTCCTTCGAGCTCCTGCACAAATGTGCAGGGAGGGACAGTATCTAGGGGCACATGAAGATGACAGCTGTGAGGGCTGCTGGGATGCATGTGTATCTTTGTGGTGTACCAATCTCTTGGTTTAATTGTTATGCAGCATTGATAGGCACACCCCACAGCAAATGAAAGCTTATTGGGACCCTGAAGAATTTCTAAAAGTATAAAAGAATTTTGAGACCCCCCCAAAAAAAAGTCAGAATGCCTGGTGTGAGGCTGTTCTGCCCAGTACCCCCAGAGTGCCAACAGAGTGGAATAACAAGTATTCAGTGCTCTATTTACACCATGACAGGCTCCTTTGTGGATGGTTAGGTATGAATGTGAATATCAGAGAGAGAGAGAGAAAGAGAGAGAGAGAGACAGTAGAGCAACCAGATTGACATATAAAGTCCAGCAAATGTTTTGAGATTATCTTAACTGAAATCCATGTGTCCTGAGGTCCAGTGATGTCCGTGATTCCTTTGGAAAATACTGCCTTCCAGGCAATGGAAGTTCGGCTCTATTGAAACTTAATAGTTCCTGCTCTAAAGAAGGGAGCTACTACCCACTCAGACCCTCATCTCTGTGGCACTGGAGACTTGGGCCCTGGGGACAACAGGTATCCTTCTCTGCAGCTTTGGGAATCACAGCTGGAAAGCAGTGGGCTCCACTCCTTCGAAAGTGTACAGGTCCCTCAGCTCTACTCGGCCTCGGTAGGCATTCTGGAAAATAGGTCTCCTTGTCAGAGCACTCACTGCAACCTGGTGGGGATGAGTTAGGAAGTGCTCAGAAGGTAGCTACCACAGTGCCAGTGGCTGGAATGTTCCTGAGGCAGTGGTCCCATCTGGATTGTCAACCTCATCATTTACTCCCAACTTCAGGCTAATGCCTAATGCCACAGAGAGATGGCATCACTACCTATCCCCAACAGTGCACTGTACAGAAGACATCTGTTTGAAGCAAAGGCCAGCATGAACCACTCTTCAGAGCAGACTGCAACCTAGACTCTTAGAAAGTGAGGCACCTAGTGTAGCCCGCCCTTGGGAAGCCTTTGCACATCCAACATGAGTAGGGTGAATTTCAGGCAGCAAGAATGCTGAAGTGTGGTATAAGAACCTTTCATGGCCTCCTGCAAGGTGTGTTATGGTTAGCCCATGTAGAGAAGAAAAAAACTGAGTCACTGAGAAGTTAGGTAGCTTGTAGAAAATCCTACAACCCCGAATTGAAGCCTAGTACTCTGACCCAAGATGGCTAAAATGAGGACTCTCCTAGAACCAAGCCTTTGCAGATTCACACCAGCACCTCTTTGCCTCCTGGGGAGGAAAGATACCAGTGGATCTGAGAATCAGGTCCTAAACAGAAGTCTAAGACCTTCTAGTTGCTTCTGGGTGTTACCTTAAAAGTGAGGTGATCCTGACACCTACCTTGATTGTTGGTAGGATCAAATAAGACACTGCAAGACAGTATAGTTGTCTGGCCAAGAGAACAGGGCAAGGAGTCGATGGAGACTCGTAGCTATTTGTATTTTACTTCTTCACGTCTTCATTTCGTTCTTTATATAATGGTGACAATAAAATGCTTGATCTGGGCTTTAGATGATAGAAGATAAAGACTTGTTAGTACAACGCAAGTTACCATGTACAAGTGTCTGTCATAAAGCAGGAATTTGCTACTGTTGTGATGAAGCTGGCCATTGGCCCTAAGACAAAAGAAGTCCTATATGGGACAGAGAAATGTCAGTGACATCATGGTTTTGGTGTCTTTAAAGGACTCTCTGCTCTGAGATCGTGTAATTCACTGGGGTCTCTGACCTGGGAACTTGTCAGAAGCACAGAATCTCAGCTCCCACCCCAGACCTCCTGAGCCAAAATTTACATTTTGGCAAGAATCCACGTGATTCCTGTGCACACTTAGGCTCTAGATGCGCCAGCGTATGGGTGGAAAGAACAGCAGTGATCACTTTGGGTATGGAGTAGAAAGAGTTAATGTTTCGTTTGGCTCTGGCACAGGAAACAGAAGGTTCCAGAGATTGAAGCTTGTGAATGGATGAAACAGGAAGGCTTCCTTCCTGCCTGTGTTCTGGGCAGCTGGGGACTCTGGCTGAGATATGTTCGGAGCTCCTGTGCCTGCAAATCAGGCTGAGGCAAAGAAAGGCCATCCTGCTCCTGCTCAGGGTGGCCTGGGCTCAGATGTGCCAACATGGACACCCCTGTCCTCAGGCCAAGGCCATCTGAGGTCTAAGGCAGAGTAGGAAAACCAGAGGAAAGCCACTGGGTTTTGAGTAGGGTCCTCCTCAGAGCGGCCTGTGGGACAGCTGAGGGGAGGGAGCTGTGTCTCTTTGTAAACAAGGCCTTGCCTTCTGGCCCCTGCCATCCCGACCTCCAGTGGGTGGGGCAGATCTTAACTCAGGGCCTTACTGTCCCTCCCCAGTGCTGGAGCAGCTAATTCCAGAGCTCACTGGGCTCCTCAGCCTCCTGGACCATGAGTACCTCAGTGACAGCACCCTGGAGAAGAAGATGGCTGTGGCCTCCATCCTGCAGAGCCTGCAGCCCCTCCCAGGTCAGTCCTGAGAAATCCTGCTTACACAGACAGCAATGGTACCATTCACTCCAGAGCCTCTATAAGGGGATAGCTAAGCCTCAAAGCATAGCAGGTACTGTGCTGTGACCCGATATGCTCATCCACCCAGGCCCCGCCCCTCCACTGCAGTTTTGGTTTTGGTTATGTCCTTCTGCATCCCCCACCCTCCACAGACTCACACAGAACATGCATACTTATATATTCAACACACATGACTCACAGCATAACACTCACACATAATGTACCACATATACTACATGTTACATACAGTAAGCACTAAATATACCATACATACAGCACATACACATATAAACACATGCTTTAGCTACACTATAATGTATACATGTGTGTGCAACATGCAGTTGCAAATAGACTGCACTCCTGTGTGCTCTCTGACACATGCATTACCACAAGTAAAACAGTTCCCGTGACTTTGCACATGCCCCCTCTACAACCATGCAAGTCTGCCTCACTACCTACATAGCAGCTTGCCTCAGCCCCTCTGAGACACTGCCATTCAGCAGACATCATACTGTCTCTTCATAACTAACAAACTGTACACTGGAGTCTGAAGGATGAGGTTGAAAGTCACCACTGAGCCATACTCTCCTCAAACAGATGTTACCTGCTGTCTCACAAGATCATTGGGGGGGGGGGCTGTGGAGTGCATGTGACAGAGACAAAGGTTCTTCTTCCCCGGAGTCCTTTTTCCTCACCCGAGCTGGCCTATAGCAGCACTAGGCTTCTGGGTGCCCATCCATGTGCAGGCAGAGATCACAATCACTGTAGCGATGCAAACAGGCGCAAAGAGGCGAGGTAGCCTTCCCTCCTCACTGATTTGTCCTCCTCCCTCAGCTAAGGAGGTCTCCTTCCTGTATGTGAACACTGCAGACCTGCACTCAGGGCCCAGCTTCGTGGAATCCCTCTTTGAAGAATTTGGTAAGTTCCCTGTCCTGACCTTAGCCTTGGACACATACACACAGGTACATGAACACACATGTGCATGTGGGGTCCCAGCCTTGTGTTGCTCTTGGCTTTCGCACTGAGCCCTTAAGTCTCCTCGGGCTCCTGTGCCCAGGCAGCTCTGAGAGCCTGTGTCTGTAGTTAAGACCCTACCCCAAGCTCGCAGGAGTGAATGTGCACAGCATGGAGTGGTTACCTTGCAGCCACCGCCGTCCATCAGTCATGGACACTGAACCTGGCTGAGAGGTTCAGCAACTCAGCAGAAAATAGGAACCATGACAGGAGAGGGTAGCTGCCTGAGCCTGAGAGCAGCCAGCTGGCTTGTGGGAGAGAAGGTGCCATGCAGCCATCCTAGAGAAGAAAGTACTACATTTAAGGGAGATGTATGGTCTGGGAGAGCTTCTGAGACAACAGTCCCTGTACAGCAGAGAGACACCGGAGCCTCATATACATACACAGGAACCCCCTTACCTCCATGTCATATTCTCAAAGACCTCCAAAGCACCCCACAAAGATATTCTACTGTGACCTCTGTCTGGAAGCCAGGCAAGACAGATTAGTACAACCAGCCTATGGAAGAAGGCCAGGGCACTCACTATTCATCTGCTTGTGCAAGTTGCTAATGATGGAGAGAGCAGGGCCTGCCTTCACAGGCAGACCTCTGGACCCCAGACCCAGCCTTCTTTCTGCCACCTTGGTTTTCTCTGTAGACTGTGATTTGGGTGACCTTCGGGATATGTCGGATGATGGGGAACAACCCAGCAAAGGAGCCAGCCCTGAGCCAACCAAGAGCCCATCTCTGAGAAGTGTGAGTCCTAACCCTGTCTAGCAAGGGTGAGGGAAGCTGTTGCTGTAACCCCGGGGCTGCTGCTGCTGGGAAGGACCCTCTTTTCTCCACTGTGATGGTTAAGGGCAGATACAGTGCTGTGTGGACTGTGGCGTGCCTACTGTGAGTCCTGCAGAGTAGGAAAATGGTGACGAGCCTAGTCTGTGCCCTTTGGCCCAAAGGACTTCACCAGCCAGCCTCAGGTTATCTGCACAGGTGAGAGGGAAATCTCTAGACCAGGAAGGGGGACTTCTGCCATCCCCACTGCTCTGTGAGAGGCTGTGTGAGCCAAGCACTTTTCTTGGAACCTGAGTCCTCACACCTACAAAGTAAAGGGTTCGATCTAGTGTTCCCAGCCGTGGGACTACAGTTAGAGACAAGCTTTGCTTGTCAGCCACAAACTGTTAGCATCAACGCCTCTGTCACAGGTACTAGTTGTCAACTTGGTATGCCCTTTACATGCATACAGACACCAAATGTGCGTGGTACACTTGCTGTCCCCATTTTACAGATAAGGCTCTGAAAAGCTGAGGTCTCGGCCCCAGATTTCACTGCTCACTGAGTTACATGCCTCGTGTTGCTCCTTGTGTGATAGCAGAGCTCATACCAGTGTTGGAGAAATGTGGCTGTTGTCCACTCAAAAGCACAACAGCCGCACTGGGCAATTTACAAAACTCAAGACACTGCAAAGGAGCTCTGACACCTGCAGAAGCAGAACAGCATGAAGAGGTTCTCAGCTCTGAGTGTAGTAAATGCTAGGGGCTGCACCTCACACAGCGGCACACGCTATAATCCCAGCACGCAGGAGGGAGATGGGAGCATGGCAGCTCAGGTCCAGCCTGTACTACATAGAGACCTTAAAACACAAAATCAGCCTAGAGCGCCACATTCAGATGCCTCGTTAGTACCCTGGTCTCCTGCCCTCCCTCCCTTCCTCTCTCCTTCTCTCCTTCCCTCCCTCCTTTCCTCCCTCCTTTCCACCACCTGTTCCCCTCTGCTGTGTTCACAGCCTCCCTGCTTCACAAACCTTATTTGTTCCGCTGCAGACAGCTGATATGCCTCCACCCCTGCCCAACAAGCCCCCACCTGAGGACTACTATGAAGAAGCCCTTCCCCTGGGGCCTGGCAAGTCCCCCGAGTACATCAGCTCCCATAGTAAGTTCTGGTCCCCTCGTAGCCTACAGGATTCCCTCAAGAAGCTGCAGGTCATAAGCCACTGCCTGCCCAGCTCCACTACCCTTCCCTGGAAGGGGCTGCCCATGAGCCCCTAACCGTGGGACCAGTGGTATGGCCCAGGGGCTTGGCTTCTAGTCTCAGTTGTGTGGTTTGAGATGGACCCTTGTCTTTTGAGGATCTCTGTCCTCCATCCTCAACAAGGAGACACCATCTCCAGTCATAACAAGAGTGCTAGAACATAAGTGACAGCCATTAGTCCTGCTTCCCAATTCTGTATGTGCATATGGATGGATTGTGTTACCAAGTCAGGACATCATAGGATGTGGCCCATGGTTTAAACTGAGCTTCATAATTCAGCCTCCAACCCCAGGGAGTCATACTGTAGTACAGGCAGAAGTAGTAGAGGCTTGATTTATATATAGTTAAACCATCTTTTTAAAAACTATGAATATTTTGTTTATTATGATCTACTTATACCATAATGCTTGTAAAGAGAATGCATATATGCATATATATGATTTATACCTAAACATATAAAAAACGTTCTGTGTATGTACTCTTACTGATGAGATAAATTACCTTAGAAAAATCTCTTAAATTAGCCACAAAGGAGAGTCCTTGTTGTTCCACTGACTTCCCCGTGTGCGGCAGGTGATCCTCCCTTTGCATAGAGACTTGATATTACACAGGGAACCAGGGTTCAGATGCCCAAGGATGCGAAGCTGAGTTTGCTGCTGGTGATGTCAGTGTTCCATTTCCCTGGGACCCTGTAGCACAGCAGTCAGTGTTCTGTACCTGCCACACAGGTCCACTCCGATCAGAAACTACTAACTCACCTGGCACATGTGAATGACACATCATGGAAGAAAATCAGGCATAGAACACGGTTTCATTTGTTCGTTTTTTCTAACTCATGCAATCTTTCTAGGACGTGCACGAAACTGGTAGCAGCACTTTTCTATGGGAAATGAATAGAAATCTAGGTGGGACACTGGGCAGATAATAGTAACAGGTGAATGTGGTGTGTAATTTGAGAACATTTCTTACTTAAGCTAGTTTGATGGCATTCATTAAAATCACAGCTACTAAGAACCTGAGGCAGGAGGATTGCTTGAGTTCAGGAACTTGAGGCCCCTTCTCAGCAGAAGATAGAGAAGGAGGGAAGTAAGGAAGGGAGGAATGTGGGAAACAAGCAAATCTGGGTGAAGGGAAATACTCTTTTATCAACACTCTTTTTGCACTGCTTGTATCTTCCCACAGGCAAAGGTATTTTCATGATAAAATGGATTAACTGTCCGCACAGTCTCTAAAAGTGTCCGTCCATGGGGTTGTGTGCACTTAGCATTACACAGCACCTTTGCTGTCTAGTCCATGAGCATTTTCATCATCCCCAAAAGAAGCTGAACCATGAAGCACTTCCTCCTCAGTCACTCGCTGCTGCTCCTTCCCAATGCCCCCGGCCTTGGGCAGTCACGTATCAGCTTTCTGGCAGTAGGGCTTTGCCTGTTCTGGACATTTCGTATAAATGGAATCATCTGACATGTGATCCTTTTAGATCGACTTCTCTCACTTAGCACAGTGTCTTCAAGTGTTGGCATGCTCATCAGCACGTGCTTCCTCCGACAGCCGATACTCTTTTCTAAGGACATACTGCATCCAGTGTATCTTTGCATCAGCTGATGACGTTTATGCTGTTTACACATTTTGCCTGTGGAGAGGCTGGGCCAAGTGAACTGTGGCCCTCTTCAGGCTATGAGTTTCCAGTTCCCTGTCACAGAGGTGAAGCAGGCAACTTTTCCTAGTTGGTCCATTAAAAGCAAAGGAAGAAGGGAGGGACAGAGCTTGCTGGGCCCCAAGTTGCATGTCGAGCACCCTGGCAGGAAGAGGCTCCCTAACCTTCCCAGAGAGCTTACTTCCTTCATACAGGGCAAAGAAGCCCCCTCCTAGGAAGGCCAGAAGGGAGGACATCGGAAAAGACCATTGACCCATTGAGGGGAGAACCTGCTGCCCAGCCAGCCAGAGTGTCCTCCCCTCACACGCATACAGTGTTCAGTCATGGTGTTAATTTTGCCCCCACATGTCCCACTCCCCCATCTGCCAACTCCCCCAGTCCACCTTGCACATCATGCTGCCAACATGTAGGCCTCAGAGAGGCAAAGGCAGGATCTGAGCCTTGCTTGGGAGTGAGCCGAGTATCCCAGTAGCTAGGGATAGCAGGACAGCTTTTCTCAGGAAACAGATGGACAGGAGGAACCTGATGACCTAGAGCCAGCGCTCTGAAGAGCCATGTAATGAGTGAGCGAGCCAGCCTGGGTGAATGAAGGCATCCGGCTCAATTCTGAACCACCCTCAACAACTAGCAATCTCTGTGGGGGCCTACTGCCCTGTGTGTAAAACGCAACCAAGCCTCCTTTCTTACAGAGACATACCTCACACCCTGCTGTACAGAGACCAGAGCTATGATGAGGACATTCACACACACTCAATGCCATTGGGAGATGAGAGGAAACATCTCTGATCTGGGTCTTAAAGGGTAGGGAGTAGTTCTCCAATAAAAGTGTAGGAAAGCACAGAGAATCGGGTGAACACAGGCCTGGAGGTCTGGCGGGGCTCGGCAAAGCAGCTTGCAGTGACAGGTATCTAGGTTAAGTGAGGAGCCACAGCAGACCAGATGTAGTAGTAGCGCCCCGCACCCAGGCTGAGGCTTCCCTGAGTCCCCACTCTGTCCCTGGGCCTTTCCCAGGCCTGCCCCCTGGATTCTGCCCATATTTCTATAAGCTTGGCTCTTTCTGACAACCTCACAGATGGCTGCAGCCCTGCCCAGTCGATTGTAGATGGCTACTATGAGGACGCAGACAGCAGCTACCCCACCACGAGGATGAATGGAGAGCTGAAGAACTCCTGTACGTACCAGGCAGCTGCTCACACAGCTGTCCTCCTGAAGAGCTGGCCCTGGGCATGCACACACCCACAACCCCTTACCAGACTGTGAACACCTGACAGGTCTCAAAGCCCTAGTTCTCAGTGGGTTCGGTGGTGAAAACCACTGGGATGGTTTCCTTATTTGTCCTGGGGACTTGGGTTTTGAGGATGGCCTGAGACAATGGCTGTGGATGGTGATGAGGTCAGAGCAGTAACAGAAGTTTACTGAGCACTTACCAGAATGAGGCACTTAGCTAAACATTGCCCGTGTCGTGGGGTCCAAGGCACCAGATGAAGTGGTGTCTGGTATTTATCATGACTACTTACTGATAAAGAACTCCAAGAAGTGAAGTCACTAAGACCCCATCACAGAGGCCAACCCCAAGCTTTTGAGTAAGGCCTCTAGTCCGTCCTTGTCCTTCCACTGATTCCCATGGCTCAGGCCCCAGAGTAGGCTGCCTGCCAGGGTTAAAAGGGCCTTGTGGGGGTGAGGGGACACAGGGACTGAAGGTCCTTTCCTATAACGCCCACAGACAATGACTCCGATGCCATGAGTAGTTCTTATGAGTCCTACGATGAAGAAGAGGAGGAAGAGAAGGGGCGGCGGCCCAGGCACCAGTGGCCCTCTGAGGAAGCCTCCATGCACCTGGTTAGGGACTGCAGGATATGTGCTTTCCTGCTTCGGAAAAAGCGCTTTGGGCAATGGGCCAAGCAGCTGACAGTCATCAAGGAGGAGCAGCTACTGGTGAGTGCCTCCCTGGAGGCCTGTGGGTGTGTCCTTAAGTGCCTGCTGGTGTGAGTGGTCTCTGCACGGAACCTAGGGCATGGTACATGAAGCCCCAGCACGTACACACACACACACACACACACACACACGCACGCACATACACATACGCCCTTTAAAATCAGATGAGGCATACCTAGTTTTTCTTTCCAGAATTTCTCTTAATGACTTTAAAACATTCATTGTTCTTTATTATGCAAGTTAATGCACTTGATTCATAAACTAGGGGAAGGGCTAAGAATGTAGCTCAGTGTCCAAGTACTTGCCTAGCATGCGCAATATCAGAATTCAATCCCCACTACCACAAAAATAAATAAAAACAAATAAATAAATCACTAGATGGGGGAGAAAATGATTTGTAAAGACATATCTCTGCTTATCATCCCAATGATTGGGAGGCTGTGGCAAGGGGGATTTTCATGAATTCAAGGCCAGCCAGGGCTAGCTACATAACAAGACCCTGGAACGAAACAGAGCAAAAGAATGAATGATTTTCATTGACTGAGAGGAGCATGGGCTGCTCCTGCAGAGGACCTGGGATTGATTCACAGCATCTACATGGTGGCTCACAGCATCTACATGGTGGCTCACAGCCATCTGTGGCTCTAGTTCCGGGGGATCTGATACCCTTTTCTAGCCTCCTCAGGCCCTGCACAAACCGGGTGCATAGGCAGGCACAACCCCCATAAACATAAAATTAAAATAAAGTAAGAATCATTCCGTTTCCACCCTTGTTTTCACACGTCTGTTTATAAAGCAGTGGCTCCCAGTTCATACTACTATGTAACTCATTCTCCCTTAAAGGAAGCTTTTCTTTTAATGCACTGCATCTCGTTACTGTTGTCCCTAAAGAAGATGCACTGCCAGGTGATAATGGCACACACCTTTAACCCCAGCACTACAGGGGCAGTGGCAGGCAGAGTTCTGATTTCAAGGCCAGCCTGGTCCACAGAGTTAGCTCCATAACAGCCAGGACTACACAAAGAAACCTAGAGTAGGAACATAATTGTAGGAAAAAGCAATAGCTGCTTCTCTCTCTCTCTCTCTCTCTCTCTCTCTCTCTCTCTCTCTCTCTCTCTCTCTCTCTCTCAAGTGTTTTGCAGGGAGATGGTCATGCACCCCTTTAATCCCAGCATTTGGGAGGTAAGAAGCAGGTGGATCTCAGTGAGTTCAAGGCCAATCTGGTCTACAGAGTGAGTTCCAGGACAACCAGGACTGTTACCCAAAGAAACTCTGTCTTGAGAAACAAAATAAAAAAAGGGTGTTTCGGTCTGTCTGTCGGCCATGCTTACCACACATGGCTTTGAAACCTTTCTCACCATGGCCAGTGAAGACTGGCCACAGGCCAGGGCCAGTCCAATGGTCATAATGGGTGTGTTTCCAGCTCTGTTTGTTTGGTTTGGTTTTTTGAGACCGCCTTCCCCTGTGTAGCCTTGGCATTGCTAAAACTCGATCTGTAGACCAGGCTGGCCTTGTACTCACAGAGATCCCCCTGCCTCTGCCTCCTGAATGCTGGGCTCGAAGGTTTGTGCCACCACACAGCTGCGTTTTCATTCTTTCACCTCCTTTCTCTATTAGATCGATTGCCCGCTGCCACCAGGCCCTCTAACCCAGAGGGTACAGAGTGACCAGAGAAGGCAGCCAGTCTCAGCCCAGCTCCAAGGAGAACGCTTTAATAATTCTTCAGTACAAGCGGGGCAATGGAAGGGGATTAGCTGGAGTGGGATGAGAGAGTGACAGAAGGGTGACAGTGATCAAAATCTGAACATGTATGGAAACGTCGTTCATGGTGAAACCTGTGATTAGGATGCTAAAAGCTTAAAAGGGGGGAACACAGCTAGCTCAGTGGGTAAGGGCATTTGTTACCACACCTGACCTGAACTGGACCCTGAAACACACATGGTTTCAGCATGTTTGTGTCTGGAGGCTACATATTTACTGTGGCACACGCGTGTCCCCCATCCCCATAAATAAATATGAAAAAAAATAAAAAGAAAAACACAGTCTGATTCCTTTTAAAACCTAGTTGAAAGCTCTAAATGAAACACTAGCAAACAGAATCTAAATGCTTATAAAACACAGGACTACTGGTTTATTCTTGTAACACAAGGGTGGCTCAGCATTCAAACTACCCTCCCCCACTTGCTGTGTGTGTGTGTGTGTGTGTGTGTGTGTGTGTGTGTGTGAGAGAGAGAGAGAGAGAGAGAGAGAGAGAGAGAGAGAAGAGAGAGGACACCTTACCAGTGTATGTCCTACTGAAGGAAGTGTCTCTCCCTCCCACCCCCAGTATCCACTTACAGATCCACTTCGTAGCATTGTTGTCAATGTCTGTCTGTGTCTCTGTTAAGGTTGGCCTCCCTGTAAGACGCCTGCCTACCCCAGGTCAGCACTGTGCACCTGCCAGGGTCCACTCCTAATGCTCTGCCATGGAGCCCGTTCAGCTGGCATCCTCCCAACTCAACCTATTTGTTCTATGGTTCTTCAGACCACATGGTCTTCCTCCTATTGTGCTATAGTCTGCCTTTTCCTCATGGACAGCTGTGCTGGAAGAGTCCCAGAGACCCCTCTCAGGCTTCTCATTGTGAGATGCTGCTCACAGTTGGGCCGAGGGTGGGGAGTCTACTCTGTGTGTGAGGGTGTCTTCCCTCATCAACCCTCTACAGCAGGAGGTTCTGATCCCCTTTCTCCACATACAGTGTTACAAAAGCTCCAAGGACCGGCAACCACATCTGAGGCTGGCGCTAGATGTCTGCACCGTCGTGTATGTGCCCAAGGACAGCCGGCACAAGCGGCATGAGCTGCGCTTCTCCCAGGGAACCACGGAGGTGCTGGTCCTAGCTCTGCAGAGCAGAGAACAGGCTGAGGAGTGGCTGAAGGTACACATGCACAGGACACACGGGTGGCTACCATCCTGCCTTCCCTCCCTTCTTCTCTTTCCCCAAGCCTGGGGCTGTAACCTTGGAACTACCAAGCCTTATCTAGAAAAGAAGGGATCCAGGGGACCCTGTGCAGGAGTAGGGCTCATATTAAATAGGACTTGGATATTCACAACAAATATACCTCATATAGGTGGTCTATATTTTCCAGTTATTTAACTTTCCTATACAGCAAGCTACACTCCTGGAATGGTGTACTTGATGCCTTTAAAAACTGATGTTATCATTAGGCCAACTAGGCCTTTTAATTTAAAATTTAATTTAAATTAAAAATAGGGGGAGAAGGGAACCCTTTCTTGTTTTCAGATGGGAATGTGCATTGTTGTAATAGCTGCTGGAGTCCAGCATCTTTATGGTGTCATAGATCCATGAAGCCACCATGTACTAATCACTTTGTACCATGCCGTGTTCCAGAGCCTCGTGTATATGACCGTTAGGGCTGTTATTACTTACTTTCAAAGCACAGAGAACTTAATGTGATTGCCAAAGGTCACAGACGGCATCGAGGGATTGGGACCAAGATGTGAAGCTAAGTAGATCTACTCCAAAGTAGGCCTGGTGGCATGGGAAGACTTTGGTGGTACATGGATTTGAGTTGAGTTCCAGAAATAATCAAATTCACTAGCCATGAGATTGTGCAAATGACATTACTTTCCTGTGCCTCGGCTTCCTCATCTGTTAAATGGTTCTTTTAAGGAATGGTCAAGAGTTGCCCCAGTGCCTGCCAGACAGTAAGGGAACAGTAGCTTCTGTGAGTGAATTGGTTAGCTTCTGACGGTGGTGGTCATAGCACTACCCTGCCCCAAGTCCTTTCCTCAGGCCCTTCATCCATCTACTCCACTGGACACCCTGCTGTCCTCTCCTACCTTCCTGATGGAGCAATGAAGCCAAGTTCCTCCTTTTACCTCCTCCTTCCTTCTCTCTTCCTTCCCGTGATAACCAGCTCTCCCAGAAATGTTTGGTATTCACATGCCCCTGCTTTTGTGTCTAGAGGGGAAGGAAGGGAAAGAAGTCAGAAGTAGGAGCCTTAGGCCCAGAGTTCAAAGGGATCTGCCTGGCCATGCTGGTTGTCTAGCCTAGTCCAAGGCTTACCTAGCAGGCAGCCATGACACCTACCTTGGGGTCTGTCTCTGCTGTGTCCTACCAGAGCCTTTACCTCCCTGGGTCTCATCATCCTCACCTGTAACTTGAGGGTCACAGACTGCTGTAGGGATAAATGTTGCTGTCTAGGTGAGCATCAGATGGTGCCTTAGCCCAGGCTATCCTGAAACTCGATCTATAAACCAGGCTGGTCTCAAACTCATTCTATAGACCAGGCTGGCCTCGAACTTCCTTACTCACCTGCCTCTACCTGAGTACTGGGACTAAAAGCAAGCACTACCACGCCCAATTTAGATGGTGACTTTTTAGACTTTATCCTCTGCATGCTTATGCCTAGGACCCTGAGGAAGTGAAAGCATGTCATTGAAAGCAAGGTGGGGACCCCAGCTGCAATGAAAGTCCTAACTGTCACATAAGCAAACCCCCACCCTTGTAAGTCTTCAGAATTCACGTCTGTCTTATCCATGACCTTGCCCTCCTCAAACAACAGAGAGCTGTTCTCATGGTATGGATGCATGTGGCAAGCCCTTTCAGACAGGCTCTGACAAGTCCACATTCCTGCAGCTGGCTATTTCAGCCCTACTCTGCCTCCTGGTGGCCTACTCCATCCTCACAACAGTCTTGATCCCACAAATCCCAGCCATGTTTCTATGCCCAGAGCTTTCCAGGGCACCTATTCCCAGCCCCATGCTCTCTTCACAGGTTATCCGGGAGGTCAGCCGGCCATGTGGGGGAGCCGAGGGCTTAGAGGCTCCCAGGTCCCCAGTCTTCCTGTGCAAGCTGGATCAGGACAAGGTATGTCTGTCTCCTGTTGTCTCCTCTGGAAAAGGCTGTGGACACTAAGCAAAGGCCACAGACTCACAGGCTGGTGGTGAACACACACACACCTGTGGCATCATACAAAGCACCAAAGTGTCAGGTACTTAGTCAGCTTAGTCTCTGTAACAACATATCTGCCATAAACAGCCGAAAGAGGAAAGATTGATTTTGGTTCAGCCCCAGTCAGCTGGCTGCATGCTGCAGGCCTTGGGTGAAGCTACGCATCATCAGGGTACTGCATTGCAATAGTAGGAATAGGTGGGAAACATGTAGGCAGGCATTGCAACTCACCTCATTAAAAAAAAAAAGAGACAGAAAGTAAACAGGGAGGAGGAAGGGACCAGGTGTGTATCTTCTCAGAACATGCCCTCCAGTGACACCTGGCCTAACCAGTTCCACTGCCTCCCATCAGTTTCAGATAGTTAAATTTAGCCCCGAGTAAATCCACTGGAGGATGAGAGCCCTTAGGATCCAGTCACTTCTCAGAAGTCCCACTTCTGGAATGCTTGTGTTGGAGACAGAGTTTCAGAAGGGACTGCAGTAACCAAGTCCCATAGTAAATAAGGAACAGCGCTAGCGTTTAAGCCCACACAGGCTGGCTTAAATCCCACTAGGGACTCTGCTACCGCAATAGAACACCCTGCACAACCACTGGGCAAACCCTATAGAGAAGGCTCCACCCACACCAGGCCCTATGCCGAAACCAGTATGAATCCTGATCCCACTGCATCTACAGCCATGAATCAAAACAATCACATGGTATCATAACTGCAACTCTGGGTATAAGCTAAGAGAGACAGTGCCAGGCTGCTGGTGAGTGCCAGGGAGACATGCTCCTGTCTCAGACGTTCAAGAATAGTCCTAAGGAACCATGCTTCAGACAAGGATGCAAAGGGCAAAAATAAAATAAAAACTACTCAAAGCAGCAAGAATTGGCAGTAGAGCAGAGAAAATGTGGGACCGGAAGTGGCTGGCCTGTGTGGCATGGTCTAGAGATGGGGAGCCCTTAGATCTGGCCCTGGACAGGGACGGGAAATGGAACTGGAAGCTTGGGATGGCTGGAGTATTAGGGAACATGGATGAAGTCAAGTGAAGGAGAAGCCAAGCCCTGCCCACATTTAGCTTTAGCTGGCTGTAAGGCCGGCCATAGGGAAGCAGCCCTGGGAGAGGGGTGTGACTATGCAGGAACACACCATGGTACACTTAGCACTGGGAGAGGGGTGTGACTGTGCGGGAACACACCATGGTGAGGCCTCTGGTGCACTTCAAAGGCTCAGAAGAGCAACAGTAGGGCAGGCTGCGCAGTGGAGTTCTCTGCCATGGTTGAGTGTACAGGAAGAGGGTAACTGATGTACTTGCAGTGGTCTTTTTGTTGGAAGCTGGGATGTTGTGTTAGTGGGTCTCTTTCCATGGGATCACAAGGTTGATATATCATCCCTGAGTTCATTACAAAGTGCTCACAGCCTGCCTCTGTATCTGTTTCCTGTCTTGGTGTAAAAGTTACTACCTACACACTGTTGCAGAAAAAACAGAGCTATAACTTCAGTTTCGAAACCTACAGACAAGATTCTTCAAATGTTTGGACTGCTCATCCACTTTCTGATAGGTGTCTCCCCATTCCCACAGCTAACAAGAAATAGTGGTATAATTCCTTCCATAATTTCTGTTCTACCTCCTTGTAGCATATGAGTTTATTAATGAATCAGTGAAAGTATGATTACTCATAGACTGGCAACAAAAGTGTGTGTGTGTGTGTGTGTGTGTGTGTGTGTGTGTGTGTGTGTGTGTGTGTTCATGTTCCTTCATTCTCTTATTCAGGGTAGAATTGTAATGGATGTCTACTGATCATTGATCTTATCACAACTCCTTTGAAAACATATTTTAGCTCACCCTTTTTTCCTGTATGCTGTCATCCCTTTCTGGAACTTCATCCTGATTAGCTTGCACAGGGGCTCTTCAGCATCCAAGGTTGCCCCCCTTGTCCATCCCTACAATGCTACTGGATTACATCCACATCCCACATAAATGCTTGTCCTTCTCCCTGTCACCTGCCAGATAGAGTGCATATTCCAGGACATTGCTGTCAATGCATTGTAATTAATGATCTCACTCTTCCGGTAGACTGTAACATAAAGATATGACCATGTGTAAGTCATCACTACCTTCTTGATAATACTGGTGTGGTATCAAGTACATGATAACTATTGCTTGGAGAATTGAAAGAAGACTGCACAAATAAGGGAGTTCTTCTGAGAGTCCCCCTGATATGAAGCTGTCTGTGTCCTTCCCCAGAGATTGTCCCAAGAGAAACAGAATTCAGACTCTGACAGCCTGGGTATGAATGACAGCAGCTCCACCCTCAGCCGCCGAGAAGCCTGTGAACATGGTAGGAGTTTCCACTTGTCCATGCAGGAGCATGTCAAAGATGGGAGGGATTTTGCAGGTCCTGGGGACCTGAGTAAGGCCCCTGGGTCTTTCATACCTGGGATCACAGGCTAGTCTCAGTGTGTAGATTGCAAGGGCTGCTGGGAAGGCCAGAGATGGGTAAAACTGGGAACATGGCCTCCTTCCCCATCCCTGTGACCCACTCCTATGCTACCAGGCAAAGGGAAGAAGAATAGCCTCGCTGAGCTAAAGGGCTCCATGAGCAGGGCTGCAGGCCGAAAGATCACGCGCATCATCAGTTTCTCCAAGAAGAAGGCGCTGGCTGAGGACCTGCAGACATTCTCCAGTGAGAATGAGGTTCCGTGCTGTGGTAAGTCCTGACTCAGAGAAGAAGGTAGGGCATGCCCCTGAACCCAGGTTCCCGGAGCTGATTCCAGGAAACTGTCAGTGCAGGGACCCTGGCCCTTTCCTCTGGATAGCTAGACTCCACTCTGTCAACATCCACACCTAGGAAAGGGGAAATCCGTTGACCATCTTATCTAGAATTCCTGTGAACTCAATCAAACCACCATCCCTCTATAGGCTTTAGTTTCCTGTGCTAATATGAAGAGGAGAAAATCCACAGCGTTTAACATGCCAGGTATGCTAGCCTTGGTACTACATACCCGTAATTCCAAAACTAGGGAGCCAGAAGCAGCAGGTTTGAGACCATCTGTGTCTACATAGCAAGTTCAAGGCCAGGGGTGAGCCTGAACTACATGGGCCCCATCTGAAAAAAACAAATGGCAAAAGTATATAGGTTTCATTTATATGTATATGTAGCTTATATCCTGCCTTTGTAAGCTAGAAAAGGTAAAAGTTACACAAAAACACATCTGCTACCTTTATGGAGCTGGAAGGAGTTTAACTCCGTGTGGGAAAACTATGCAGAGGCTGGAATTGCTTGCTGGCAGGGTCAAGCACTTTGAAAAGCAGTGGTTTCTGGTTTATGTACATAAAGATATAACTTATATAGATTATACCTAGTCTGATAAGGAAATTACTATAAAAATATTAAGTACTTTTAAGATAAATGCATGCTAGTAAAAAGTGCCTGGCAGAGAATGCATTACCTGTTTCATACAAATGCCGTGGTCCATATGCTATAACCCAGTAGATAATCACCTGTTTTAAAGGGGATAAGGGTGTGTCTCAATGACAGAGCATTTGCCTAGCTGTGTGAGATCCCAGGTTCCATACGCAGCATAGCAGAAAATAAAATCTTCTATTTCAAGTATGCAGAAATACTATATTAGTTTAAAAGCTATAATTATAGCCTATCAATGGCGACACACATCTCTAATCCCAGCACTCGGGAAGCAGAGGCAGACGGATCTCTGTGAGTTAGAGGCCAGCCTTGTCTGCAAGAAACCTAAAATGATTAGAGGAGAATCTAATTCTATCTGTAGTCAGCTGTGCAGCTAGCTAGCCTTCTGCTTAGGTGTAGAAATCAATCCTTACTGTGGCTAGATGTTGGCATTTCTACATGCTGCCACTAGGTGCCAGCATCATCCATCATTTTCCATCTTTCAGTAACAAATTCTATTTGGGGCAGTGGAGGGGCAGTTGTAGCTTTCCTACATCTTCTCTAATAGTGTCAGCCATTTCCATCACACTTGGAGTGGTCCTGAGGCTGTAAAAGGATGCATGAATAGCATCATCGATGTGAGATCACAGCTAGACAGCCGAGACTCAAAGAGGAGGATGCCTAAGGTGCCAGGCCTTCCTGCCAGCTAGATCACAGGTTCGTGTAGATATCTCTCAGAGCCTTTGCACAAGGAGCTATAACGAGGTCATTCCACTGTGTCTTTGTTCCAGGGTACCTAAATGTGTTGGTTAACCAAGGCTGGAAGGAACGATGGTGCCGCCTCAAGTGCAACACTCTCTATTTCCACAAAGACCGCACCGACCTACATACCCACGTGAATGCCATTGCCCTCGGGGGCTGTGAGGTAGCCCCAGGCTTTGGACCCAGGCACCCATTTGCCTTCAGGATCCTACGCAACAGGCAGGAGGTGGCCATCCTGGAGGTGAGAAAAGAGCCTTTGGGGTGGGGGATGGGGTGGGGGGGTCTTGTTGCTATTCTACCACAGGAACTTTGGGGGAAGAACCCAACTTGCTTGTGAGGTAACATAGGAAACATCAGGGAATGCTTGAATTCCAAATAAACAAGGAATCGTGTTTTTAATATGAAAGTAGCCTGGGTGATTCGGAGACACACCTACACTGAAAGGTTGCTTGTGTATCTGAAGTTCAAACCTAACAGAGCGCCCTGTGTCTTTATATCCTAATTTTGGCAGCCCTAATTCTAGAGCCCAGGTTTGCTTATTTGCCCTGACCTTAAAGTTCCAGGTCCGGCAGGCATCTCCTGTGGTCTGACTAGGATCTGATTCTGGACCTTCCCAGCAGGAGTCATCCACCTCAGAAAGCCACTGCCTGTCAAGGTGCCTGTCACTCCCACGGAGCAACTCCAGTCTCTACAGAGTCCCCCACAGGGTTAAAGTCCTCCCAGCTCCCTCCACACTGGCAGGGCTGCAGCCGTGTTGTTATATAACGTTTCTTTTTCTAGATCCCCGCACACACTGTGAGCTCAGCAAGCACGCATTGAACAAACTGTGCATGAGTGGTGTCTGCTCGCTGACCTTCCCACCTGCTGGCCCCACCCTCCTCTCTGAGGTTGTTCAGAGCAGGAAGGCAACCCTCCATGTGACAGCACCTTGGATGCTTAGAATTCAAAATGTTGACACAGGAAAGTTCAAAGGTCCACCTGCCCACGTTATAGACAGACAGAGGCCAGGGCGGCTATGTGCTTTTCAAGGCTCAAGAGTGCTAGTACCCTCCCCATCTGCCTCATTGTTTTTCAGTTTCAAAAACTATCTTCCTGTTGAGTTTCTTTCTTTTCTTTTTCTTTCTTTCTTTCTTTTTTTTTTTTTTTTTTTTTTTTTTTTTTCCTTGGTTTTTCGAGACAGGGTTTCTCTGTGTAGTTTTGGAGCCTGTCCTGGAAGTAGCTTGGTAGACCAGGCTGGCCTCGAACTCACAGAGATCTGCCTGCCTCTGCCTCCCCAGTGCTGGGATTAAAGGAGTGTGCCACCAATGCACATATCCCATAACTTACATAGAGTTTTCAAGGGGATTCCCCCCCCTTAAGATGATGCTTCATTTATTTCTTTAAGTTTGTCATTACTCGCTAACTGATTTTTCGATAATGCACAATTTCAGGATATGTTTAACTAGCCAGCAGTTCTGGGGAATTTTCCTATAAATTGTACTGTAATACTTAGGTAACTATAGTCTAAGAAAGTTTTGAGTTACATGAGCAATTTCCTATTTAGAGGAATGTAAACATGGAGGCTGGAGAGGTGGCTCAGCAGTTAAAAGCATTTGTTGCTTTGGCAGAGAACCCTCTTGTGATTCCTAGCACCCACAAACTGGCTCACAACCATCTGTAACTCCAGTTCTAGGGAATTGGATACACTCTTCTGGCATCTGCAGACACAAAACATTAATGCATTACACATATATGCATGCAGGCAAAACAATCAGCCACACACATAACATAAAAGTAACTTTAAAATAATGTGTTTTCAGACTAGGGATGTGGCTCAATGGTAAAGCCAGGCCTTGAATACACAAAGGTGCTCTGGGTTTGATCCCCAGTATGGAAGAAGGAGAGGGAAGGAAGAAGTTTTGAGAACACCTAAATGTTGTTTTTACATCCAAATGGTCAGATATAAAACCCCAGAGAGTGGAGGGTAGGGGTGTGACATAGAAGTGATCAGGGAGGATTCCTGGGAGGAAGTAGCTTTTTGAGCGGATGCTTGAGAGAATTCAGGAGCCTCGGATTTCTGCATGTGTGTCTAGTCTAACTCTTCCTCCATCACTAAGTACTGAGTACTTACAAATATTTGTGTGGTTCTCTGACATGAGCAAGCAGCCAGAGGCTTCACGCTGTGAAAGTGAACTCCATTGTGCCTCCTCTTCCCAGGCAAGCTGTTCAGAGGACATGGGCCGCTGGCTTGGGCTGCTGCTGGTAGAGATGGGCTCCAAAGTTACCCCAGAGGCGCTGCACTATGACTACGTAGATGTGGAGACCTTAACCAGTATTGTCAGTGCTGGACGCAACTCCTTTCTGTAAGGGTAGTTCCATGGCCCAATCCTGTGGGGGGATTCCTGCCTCAGCTCCATTACCAGGCTCTGCATGCAGCCTTGAGCACTGAATGGAAGGGGCGGGCAAGCTCAGGAAGCCAGCTTTCTTGGGACAGATGGCACCTTCACTAGTGTGGGTTGGCTTGGCCTGAAGCCTGCCATCTGACTCACAAAGGATGGTGGGAATAAGCCACCTGTTGTCAACTTGTAAGACTCACAGGTGTCTAGGCAGTAAAACTGCTGCCAGGGACTGGAGAGATGCCTCAGTGATTAAGAGCACTGGCTGCTCTTCCAGAGGACCAGGATCAATTCCCAGCCCCCACATGGTAGTTCCAGGAGACCTGACACACTCACGCAGACATACATGCAGGCAAAACACCAGTGCACATAAAAATAAACAAAATGAGTAAAAAATAAAAAAACAAAAACCACTGCCCAGCATCAAATGAGAGAAGACAGGAAGGCAGCATAAGCCACAAAGTGTCACCAACAACACTGTACCTTTCATGTTCTAGGTATGCACAATCCTGCCAGGATCAGTGGCCTGAGCCCCGTGTCTACGATGAAGTTCCCTATGAAAAGGTGCAGGTATGGTCTAGTGACCCCGCTTAGTAACATGCCTGCCCTTTCTTCTTTCCCCTTCATTGCCCACTTTATCCTTTGCTTCAGAGAAACTGACTTCACTAAACCCACCTCCTCTCAGTGCCACGCCCTGTGCCTTCTCCTGGGGAAGAACCAGAAGACAGGCACACTGGTGGCCTTGCATCTAGAAGAGACGGAACAAAGCTGCCAAGGACAGGGCACATCTGTGAGCCAGGGCCCTTCCTGGACTAGATGATACTTTGTGCCCTCACTTCCATGATTCCCCTTTTTAGAAACGTACCCAGCCCGCCCTTTTATTCCCAAGGTCTTTCTTGAATGCAACTTGAAGGTTTTGCTCAGTTGCAAAGAAGCTAGTAGCTGGATAGTTTCACACTTCAGATATAGCTGGGTGTGGTGGTGCACACCTTTAATCCCAGCACTCTGGAGGCAGAGACAGATGAATCTCTGATTTCGAGGCCAGCCTGGTCTACATAGTGAGTTCCAGGACAGCCATAGCTACACATAGTAAGACCCTGTTTCAAAAAAAAAAAAACTAAGCACTTCAGATATGAAAGCTGGAGTCAAAGGGAAACTTCACTTTGCTTTTCAGATCCCCAGCTTCCCAACTCCACGTGGGTGTGTGGGTCCTTCTCAGGAGTGTTTTGAGAACAAAATGAAATGATTCATGTTAGGAAGGAAACGAGGAAGGAAGGAAGGAAGGAAGGAAGGAAGGAAGGAAGGAAGGAAGGAAGGAAGAAGGAGGAAGGGGCACAGTGCCCAGCAGGCAGAGAAGTAACATTGTCATTCCTAATAAGATGGTTACATGACAGTATGTATCACATCAAGGCCTTGGCTGGACTTGCAGCATGGGAAATACTCTTCAAGCAAAAATGCAGCCAGTTTAGTAAGATGCATCACTTCTGACATTGGCTCCTGTCTTCCAAGCCATTACTTCCCTCCTTTCCCTCTTCTGATGGAAAACTGTATTAGCAATTCAGAAACTAGAAGAATCTTTCAAATGATATGTGAACAAAACGCCTGTAACAAACACAGGCACACGCAGTTTCCCGAGCCTTCTCATTGGTCTCTCAGTAAGTACTCCAGCTTAAGGTTGCCTTTTACCATAAGGTTCGAATGAATGGTGCTAGTGAAGGCAACCTGTAAACTGTAGAGAGCTGCTGTGTGTGGAAGGCCAAGATCTCAGGTGCTGGCCAGAAGCTCCCTGTCTGAATGGACGGAACCCTTCCTGCACTCAGTCTTCTTCCTCTACCCCCCTTGCCCAGGATGAGGAGCCCCAGCGCCCCATGGGGGCTCAAGTGAAGCGCCATGCCTCCTCCTGCAGTGAGAAGTCCCATCGTGTGGACCCACAGGTCAAAGTCAAACGCCATGCCTCCAGTGAGTTCTGTGGTCTTTTCCTGCTCAGGGGTCTCAATACCACACTCCCGGAGTGAGGGAACAAAATGGGTAAAAGAGGTCCATCAGCAAATACTCTACCCTAAGGAAAATAATGGGGGATAGGCAGCGTGGGAGTGCTTAAGATCCCAATCCCCATCACAGCAAGAGAAACAAAAAGAATTTAACAGTAGGAGCGTGGTGGTAAGGGCAAAGAGCAAATGAATAGCAGAGGGAGGTTTGCAGAGAGGCTAGAGTGCTTAGATCCTGTTCTAGAGGTAGACCCTACCTGACTTACCCGAGATCCCTCACTCGGCATTTACTGATTATTCAAAAGGCCAAAAACTTAACTTCATGTGATTTCTCTTTTACTTTTGAGATAGTGTTTTCCCTGTGTGTCCCTGGATGTTCTAGAACTCACTCTGTAGACCAGGTTGGCTTAGAACTCAAATCTCTGCTTGCCTCCGCCTCATGAGTGCTGGGATTAAAGGCATATGAATTCTTAATACTAGCTGCTAATTAAAATGTTTTTATACTGCATGAGCATTATCTGTATAATAGTTGAGTGCTTCAAAGTATATAAGCATACACAGGTATATCTAAGTAAATGTAGGGGAGTGGAAAAGAGAGAGAGAGAGAGAGCTCATCTCTAATCCTGTTTTTTCAAGAAGGCCTGAGTTTATGGTCTCTGACCTAGGGTAGTAAGCAGCTAACCACTCCCTCCACAGTCCCTGAGCTGGGGTGTCACAGATCCACAGCTCACTTCTGTGTCCCCATCTGTGCACTGTGTGCCCCAGATCACACAGGGGACCATCCTAGAACAAGCCAGCTCCCCATAGGATAATGTACTGTTTCTTAAGGTTTCTTTTCCCCTACCTTTGCTTTTTGAAGACTTTTTTGTTTTGTTTTTTGAGACAGAGTTTCTCTGGAAGTCATTCTGTAGACCAGGCTGGCCTCGAACTCAAAGATCTGCCTGCCTCTGCCTCCCCAGTACTGGAGTTGTGCACCACCACACCTAGCCTTTTGAAGACTTATTAAAAAAAAAAAAAAAAAAAAAAAAAACCTTTCTGTCCCCTATCTCCATTGCATTAGTATATATAAATCATTGCTCCCAAGACATCTGTCTTCCACTCCTCACTTGCCTGAGACACTGTTATGTGACTTTGAACAAGTCCTTTCCCCTGTCTAGTTCCATCAGTAGGAGGGAGGGATGTGTAGCGTTCTTGAGAGGCACCGGAAATAAGGGCTTTGAAAAAAACCTGTTTTAAAATGGAAAACTGTTCTTCATGTAATTGACTTGCTGCAGCCCCAGTGCTCAGGAGACTCATCCAAGTTCCAGGCCAGCCTTGTCTGCACTAATGAAAAGGTCAGCTAGTGCTGACCTGTTGTGAAAAAATAGAATTCACCTGACATAGTGGCTCATGCCTTGAACCCCAGCACCCAGGAGGCAGAGGCAGGCAGATCTATGTGAGTTCGAAGTCAACTTGGTCTACTTAGTGAGTTCCAGGACAGCCAGTGCTACATAATGAGACCTTGTCTTAAATAAATAAATAAATAAATATCAATGAATAAGCAAAGTAGAAAACTGAAGTCAGTATATCAGATTAAAGAAATCACTAAATAACAACAACAAAAGGTAAAACCTAGATCCTGATTTTTGTTATTGTTTGTTTGTTTGTTTTTAATCAAATCTCTCACAAGAGCCCAAGTTACAAGAGCTGTGAAAATGGGGCTGGTCTGGCTTAGGCCTATTGGCCTCCCCATCCCCATCCCAGGGGCCTGTGGGCCATTGCTAAAATCACAGGGTTCCTGGAGGGGCCACAAGGTATAGGCCAGTGACATCCAGAGGCACACAGGAGTAGACCTGCCTTGGCCCTCAGTCTGCTGTAGCAAAACTTCCTAAGATGACCTTTTTAAAAGCAACAGCTCAATTCTCCTAGCTTTGGAAGCTGGAGTCCAAGTCAGCAGCTGTGGTGTCTAGGCCATCTCCTGTTGCATAGATGGCTATCTTCCAAGGCCACTGATGTTACCTATAAAGATTCTGCATTCCTGACCTCATCACCTAGAGTCAGACAAACACATGTACAACTTGTCTCTAGTGCCATTCACAGTGGAACCTAATCTTTCTGTGCCTGGCTTCCTCATCAGTACAATAGAGTAATAAACAAACAGCTAATATTAAGTAGGATCAAGTAAGGTACACATCGAATAATAAAATGGAGGAAGGTTAGATGGGAATTCAAGCAAGTAGATGAGTGTAGCATACACTGAGTGAGAAACATGATTCTGTGCAGTTGCTTGCTGTCCATCATGGTGGGCCTACAGTACACGCTGGGGCTTTCTCTCTTCCCACCCTTCCCCAGCAGCACACTGAGCAGGGCCTGACCCTGGCATGGATCTGATCTGAGTTACATGTAGATGTCTTCCTTTAGCATAAATAACCTGAGGCTTGACTCATTCAAAGTATACTTTCTATAAAGCAATATGGGTCATGCATCACAAATTTTGCTTTATTATGAAACGACTATCGTTATTTTCTAACATTCACTAAACGTCATCACTTGCCAGGTACTATAGTAAGTACTTTTCCTTGACTATCTCGTGTATCCTGGAAGCCAAATTTATCACTGTCTTTATTTGTGCATCAGAACGCTGAGGCTTGGGGGGAAAGTGCAAAAGCACACCAATCATTTGGGTCTGACAACACACATCCAGTAGAGAAAACTCAAACCGTGATCTGCCTGGTTCTGAGTCCCTGTGCTGTGCTACCTCACTGTTCCTTCCTAGTGAGATGTTCTGTATCTCTGCAGGTGCCAATCAATACAAGTATGGCAAGAACCGGGCTGAGGAGGATGCCCGAAGGTACCTGGTAGAAAAAGAGAGGCTGGAAAAAGAGAAGGAGATGATTCGGACAGAACTGATGGCTTTGCGACAGGAGAAGAAGGAGCTGAAGGAAGCCATCCGGAGCAACCCAGGTACCTTCTGAGGTGTGGCCCTGAGTGCACAAGGGTGGCTCAGCCTGAGACCACCCTGACTCAATAAGGGGAGGCCCAGCCCTAGAGCCCATTCATCTGTAGATCATAATGGGCCTAAGATGAGGACCTCTGGTAAATCAGAGAATAAACACATGGAACTGTGTGTGGTGGAGCACTCAGGTGGCAGAGGCAAATAGATCTCTGTGAGGCCAGCTTTGTCTATATAGAAAGTTCTAGGAGAGCCAAGGTTACATAATGAGACCCTGTATCAAAGGAAAAAAAACTGAAAGAAAGAGAGAATAAACACACAGCAAGTTGGCAAGGAAAGCATTTTGGTTTCAGTACAAGAAAAATTGTGGGGCTAGGGATATAAGTCAGTGGTGGAGCACTGGTCTGGCATGTATGTGTAAGTCCTTGGACTCAATCCCCCCATACAAATAAACAAACGAACAAAGGACAGGAACTTTGTAGAGGTAAGAACCATGATTTGGAACAGACTAACTATCCTAACCAATGTTTTTTGTCTATATCAATTTGCAGTATACATAAGCTGTTATATCATTACTTTTACTTATATTTGTCATACACACGTACATATAAGATTTATAAATGGAAGATCTTTGCCTGTTTTCTTCACTGATCCATATCAAGAGTCCAGGACAGTGCTTGGTCTGTAGTAAGAATTCAATAAACAACTACTAAAGCAATGAATGACTGCATTTAACATGACTGTAAAAACCTTCTAGTGGAAGTTAAAGGATGGAGATGATTCTGGACTGAGCTAGCTAAAGCTGTGGCTCATTGATAGAATGAATTCCTGCCTGGCAGTTACAAAGCCCTAGGTTCAATCCCCAGTACTACATAATCCAGGCGTGATGGCTCACACCATAATCCCAGCACTTTGGAGGCAGGCATTTTCCACTGTACAGTCTGAGGCAAGCCTGGACTACATGAGACCCTGTTTTGATTTTAAGATTTTTATTTTTAAATGGGAGACTGTGGATGTAGCCCTGTGACAGAGCCCTTCCTAGTGTACAAGCCCTTAGCTTCAATCTCCACCCCCATCCCCCACCCCCACACAAATGGATCTTCTTTGCTTGACCGAAGTATTAATGAAGTTCTGTCGGTTTACACTAAATCAGCAGCAGGGTCGTCCTGGAAAACCTGGCTCAGTACCCAAGTAACAGAAACCAAAATCACACACAAAACTGCAAACTGCAAACTGAGAGATCAGATACGTGTAGTGAAATATAGGGAAACAAATGCTTTCAGTCTCTTCCTCTTAGTGACGTAGTGGCTACACAGCACAAGCCTTCACCCAGTCCTCAAGGCATCCCAGCAAAAAAAGGCGTCTCTTCCCAGTGACCACCACCAAAATCTCAGGAGTCACTCCATTTGGACCAACTCTATATTCTGAACCAATCACTGTGAATGGAAGATGAGAGGTGATCACCGACCAGGCCCCCAAGTTACATGGGACCCACCCACTCAAACTAGAGGGATAAGAGGGCAACAATGGTTTTGCAGTGAAATATTAAGATACTCTTTCCTGAAGATGGAGGCTAGGCAGATAAAGACCACACTACAGAGTGTGGCTGGTAACCTACCTCAAAATCTGTCTTATAACTGCACGCACACTGCTGGGAAGGCTCTCTAGGAGAGACAACGGACCTGAGGCCCCACAGACTTTTCTCACCAGTGTTTCTGGACTCAGGAGCGAAGTCGAAGGCCTTGGAGGAAGCTGTGGTTGCTCTAGAAGCACAGTGCCGTGCCAAGGAAGAGCAGAGAATCGACCTGGAGCTGAAGCTGGTGGCTGTGAAGGAACGCTTGCAACAGTCCCTGGCAGGGGGGCCCGCCCTGGGCCTGTCTGTGAGCAGCAAAAACAAGAGTCAGGTGAGTCCTTGGGGCAGCTACTTCCCAGCCACCCCACTCCAGTTTTGACAGAACTGTCTCTAGAAAATGCCAGATGTCCCCAGGAGGGCAGGGTTCCCCGTTAGGAAGTTACTATAAACTGCCAGTGGTCCTATGGTTCCTGTATAATACCAAACCACTAGAGAGAGAGAATACATGCATGCCTGTATCCTTGTCTGTATCATGTCTGTCCCCTGCCCTGGGTATTTGTGTTTTTATTAAGACCTGAGCGATAGGGGTGCAGTGCTGTAGTAAAGCACATGCCTGGCATGTATGAGACACTAGGTTAGAGTCCCCAGCACTGAAAACAACACATGGGAGTTAGACTGTTTATCATGTCCCTAGCCTCTTATGGGAGTCTGGATAATAGGAGTATAGCAAGTGTTTGCTGGATGATTAGATGCCCCCTCCCTGCTCTTGGACAGCCAAACTGGCTTGTCTGATAAGTGTGAGCTGGCACTGGAACTGTGTTCCCAGCCAGTCCATATGGGCACCTGACCTGAAGCCAGACAATGCTTCCTCTCTTTGGGGGCATCCTTAGCTCCATTTTGCAGGAGGAAAACCTGATTCACAGGGGGCTTGGAAAGCAGCTAGACCTATTTCCTTCATAACAGTTGCTGCTTCTAAACCCCTTGGGGCTAGATGTTAAGGTTTCACACTGCATTGTTAGCGTTACTATTGCTGTGATGAAATATCATGACCAAAAAGCTATTGACTTACACTTTAAGTCACTGCTCGCCACAGAAGGAAGCCAGGGTAGGAACTCAAACAAGACAAGGGTGCTGCTTACTGACTTGCTCAGCTTGTTTTTTTTTTTTTTTTGGTTTGGTTGGTTTTTTCTTTCTTGTTTGTTTGTTGTTGGCTTTGGTATAGTGTTCTGCCTGCATGTATGTGCCTGTAGGCCAGAAGGAGCCAGATCGCATTACAGATGGTTGTGAGCCATCTGGTGATTGAACTCATGACCTGTAGATGAGCAGCCAGTGCTCTTAACCACTGAGCCATCTACAGAGACTGTCAGCTTGCTTTCTAGTAGAACATAGTAACACCAGCCCCCCACAATGGGCTGGGCCCTCTCCCATCAATCACTAATTAGGAAAATGCCCTACACGCTTGGCTGAAGTCCCATCTTATGGAGGCATCTTCTCAATTGAGGCTCCCTCCTCTCAGAAGCTCGTGTCCAGTTGACATAAAAGTAGACAGCACACACACTTATGGAGTTGAATAGTAAGCAATCATCTAGAAGGTTTGACAGGTGAAGATAGTGTAGACAGTAAGACAATATTAGGAGAAAGTTAAGCACATATGCATGAAGCTCTGTGTTCAACTCTACCAGCACCACACAAAAGAAACAGTGTAACTATGGAAGTTGAATTCCAGCTCTCACACTAAGCAGCCATGTGGCCTTGCACAGAAACTTGACCTTCCTGATTCAGTCCCCAAGATGGGGTGTTAGTAAACAGTACATACCTTACCGGCTCATGGGAAAGCCCATCAGTACACTGGCTACTTAACAGGCTCATGGGAAAGTCCATCCTTACAATGCCTGCCTGATGTATAGAGAGAGCTCTGTGACCTTGCCTGTCACTGCCTTTACCCCCCGCTCCAGTCCCCAGCATCTTCTGTCCCCTGCCCTGTTCAGTGCTGGCATGTTTGCCTAGTGCTTTCTAATCTAAAGTTCACCTATACTTAAGTGCAGGTTGGGTGCAAATAGACAGCACTATATTTCACCTTCATAATGGTTTTGTTTGTTTGCCATGAACAGGAAACTACAAACAAGCCCCAAAGCAATATCCCAGAGCAATCTCTCCCTGTCAACTGTGTCTCTGAGCTGAGGAAGAGGAGTCCATCCATTGTAACCTCCAATCAAGGAAGGGTGCTACAGAAGGCCAAGGTAAACCAAGAAAGAGCTCAGCTAATGGTAAAGCACAGATCTGGATCTTTCTATAAAAGACCCATTCCAAAAACCCAGAATGCCACCTAGTGAGAAAAGGATGCATATAGCCATCTGGCTTCTGAGCCTAACAGCATTCCAAGGTAGTAGAAGTCAAGATTGGGGTTAATGGGCCTGGTGCAAGGCTAAGTACGACGCCAACACAAGAACAGACAGGCTTGAGGTTCACTGTATGACACTGATCCTCAACCTCTTCTGTGTAATTCTTGGGGATGGCTGTTAAGAACATCTTGGTCTTTAAAAAGGCATATGTATTGTTAACACTCCAACACATTTCTCAAGCATCTGAGTAACTCCACACCATAGAGCAGAAAACATCCTATATCTGGCCTCATCAGGTTTTGCCCCCAAATGAGTTTGTGCTAAACCTAGAAACTATGCATGCTTCAGGGTTTTCTGGGTTTCCGAAGATAACAGGTAAGATGGTGTGGAACTGAAAAACAAATGTTCAATACTGGACACAGTGGCACACCCTAATCTGAGGCAGAGGGATCATGGTTTCTAGACCAGCCTGGACTATAGTGAGACCATATATGTATCAAGCTCAGCCAGTGAGACCAATGAGCTACTGTGAAAGCTAACACTGACCTCTGCTTGGGGAGTTTGATTTAGAAGCACCTAATCTTTAAGCAATGTGGGGACCAGTAGGTTTCCTCTTCTTTAAGATGAGAAGCTATATAGAAAGGAACCCAAACAAGCCTTTCTTTGTCTTGTGGACTCAGGAAGATAAGATTTCACAGTGAAGACTGTGGTGCCAGGTCACAATGCAATCGAGGTAGTTATTCTAACCATTGATAGCTGGTGCCTTTGCAGTGGGCCATATACAAGCAGAGATCTGAGGGGAGTGTGAGGAACCCAAAAGGGGCTGGAGGGATGGGAAGAGAAGATCCAGAAAGAGAAGAGCACGGGCCAAGTCCTCGCTTGTTTGTGGACAAGTAGGCAGAAGGGTGAACACTAAATGTGAGAGGCAAAAAGGAACAGCCAGGCCACAGTAGCCAGGCCCAGAAGCCAGCAAAGTTTTCCTGTGAGGGTCTTTGCACTCAAGAAATATTTTTGACATTGTAGGCTGCATAGTCTCTGTCAGCTCTGCCACTGTGGCTGGAAAGCAGGTCCAGACAAAAACTACCGCATGAAGAATATGACTGTGTCCCAATAAAACTTTACTGACAGGCATTGAAATGTCAATTCTGTATCACTTTTACTTGTCACAAAATGCTGCTGTTCTTTTGCTACTTTTTCCAGACACTCAAAGACTCGATGAAATGTGCTTAGCTGGTAGGCTGCATGAAAACAGATGAGCAGGTTGAGTCAACAGGCTGCAGCAGTCCCTCATCTGTGGACTTCAGACCACTGGAAGAACTTAATGCGCAGATTTGAGCAGACTGGTTTTCTAAATGCCACCTGCAGTTTTCAAAGCCCACTCTGGGATTTGGAGAGATGGCTTGGCGGTTAAGGACACTTGTTCTTGCAGAGGACTGGGGTTCACTTCCCAGCATCCACCTGGTGGCTTACAATCATCTCTAATTCCAGGGATCTGATACCTTCTTCTGACCTCCATGGGTACCAGGCACACACATAGTGCACAGACAGACATAACAGGCAAAACACACATACACATACAATAAACAAATCAATTTAAAAAATGAAGGGGAAAAAAAGCATTCTGGCCGGTGGTGGCACGTGCCTTTAATCCCAACACTCAGGAGGCAGAGGCAGGCAGATCTCTGTGAGTTTGAGGCCAGCTTAGTCTACAGAGCCAGTTCCAGAACAGCCAAGGCTACACAGAGAAACCCTGTCTTGAAAAACCAAAATTAACCAACCAACAAACAAATAAAATAAACATCCTGTCTAGGTATGTAAACCCATCACTTTAGAGGCTGAAGCAGGAGGCTCACCATGAATTTAAGGCCAGCCTGATCTACATGGAGACCTTGTCACCATCACCACACTTTAACAAAAAGCTATCCTGACTATTCTGCTGAGAATGGAGAAAGGGACTAAAGGTCATAGAGACTGAGGAACAGGGTCTCCATGGTCTCTAGCCTGGCCAGTGGAGCTATTCATAGTGAATGTAGTGAGCGTCCCACTAGAACCCTCAACAACTGATTCTTCCCCCTTATCTTTCTGTGCCTTAGGAATGGGAAATGAAGAAGACCTAGGAAGGGTGAGAATTCCATCCTGAAGGGGTATCGGCTTGTCCATCTAAGGAGGAAATGCTTTCTTCACAAGATGTCAGGAAAAGACTGGAGCACCCAAAAGACCAGCTTGATTGTCTGCATGATTCTAGGGATTGTGGGAAGGGAGAAGTGGAAAGCATCCTCCTGGCTTTACAAAGGATGGAGGTGGGAGTGGCAGGAGATAGAATTGTGCACCTGTAAATGTTTCGTTAGGTATCTCTACCTCCTGAATCAATGAAAGCACACATGAACAAGCCATTCCACCTTTTCTCAGCATCCAGTCCAGTCCTCGAGGCAAAGGAAGCCAGTGTTGAAGTACTGGTAGTGAGTGTCATGATGAAGGAAGATGCTCCATCACCTGAGAACACTTGGGCAGACTGCGTTCCTATTGGGCATTACAGGCCACCTCTGGGTGAGGGTAATGGACTGGAAAATCAATATGTCCCTGCCTGCACAACAGTGAACAAAAGCTATTGAGAACATAAAAATGCCACAGTCATTCTTCATGTTTCAGTGCCTGGCAAAGTACAGCCACTGGAACCTTCCAGGTTTGAACATTTTAAAATCAGGTTACCTCAGTATGCACAGGGCAAAGAGAGTTGATCAGCTGGCCCATTTTAAACTTACAGTGGCAGAAGTATGAATGCCCACACACTGTTGCATGCATTGGAGGGTAGAGTCGTTTGCTGTCAGTCAAGTGCTTACCTATTTAAGGTGACACTGAGACTCCTGGGGCTGTGGTTGGAGGACTAAGATTTTAGCCTAATGAAGTCTTCATCTTGTACTAGGAGGCCTGTAAGCCTGTCTCCCTGTGTGCTATGAAGTAACACTATTGAGAAAAGCCAACAGGATGGTGGCTCATTTCTGCCATGAGGGTGCTAAGCCTTTTCCAAACACTTGATATTTTTATAGGACCTCAAGTCCTAGGCAACCTCTTTTCTATACCATTCATGACTGTCTCAACACTGGGCTTTTAGGTCGATTTTTAACATATTCATCTCCAATAAAGATGAAACTGTTCAACTCTGAGAGGTTAGCTGACACTTGGAGGTGGGGGGGAGACAGGGAAGTTGTGGATGGTTGGCTTCCCTCCTACGGCTTCACATACTTCAGCCTTGTTGGAACCTTACCAGTCTTTGCAGTCACTGGAGACCAGAGTGGAAAACCAATCACCTCACTGGTAGGACAGACACATTAGGGATTACGGTCCTGGGTCCAGAAAGGGCTGACTGCTGATAATCGTAGGATAGTCTCAGCAAAGTCATTCAACCCCTCTGGCTCTCATTCAAGAACAGGCTAAGTGGTTGTCCTCTCCTCCCAAGACTCTGGGTGGGTATTTAATGAGCTAATTCATGAGAAGCGTCTTCTATATTTAAAGTTGGAAATGCTTGTCAGAAGTGGGTTTTAGTATCAGATACTAAAGGTCTGACTCAAAAGATTTTATTTATTTATTTATATATATAAAATGACTTATTAAGTAGTAACAGCTATCAAAAGGCATCCAATCCAAGGGGGTAGGGGTGTCGTTCCCAATTACATTTCAGTGCCTAGCGGACCAGCAGCCCATATTTGCCCATGCTCCTTATTGAGGTGTATATTCTACAATGGTGCCCACCACTGTGTCTTAAGTATCTGTCACACTCTTTCTTAGGCAGTTATTTTAGGGTTAAATGCCTTTTCCACAAGTATATCTTGGGCTCAAAGAAGGAAGGGCCCTGCATCATTAATCATTGACACACATGAGGACATGCCACCTGCCAGATGCTAACAGCCTGTGTCACCTGAGGCCCATGCTCAGAGTACACCTAGTACTTGCCTAAACACTTGGCTGCTGCCCTCTTGAAAATGTTTCTCCTTAATGACTTTTCAACAAGAGATTCTGCATTTTACTCTTATCTTTTAAATAATGTAACAAGAATCCAGCAGGAAGACTCAGAGGGTGTCCTTAAGGGGGCTTGCTGCCAAGTCTGAGGACCTGAGTTTGATGCTCAAAACCCGTATGATGAAAGAATGGAGAGAACCAACTCCCAGAAGTAGCCCTCTGACCTCCATACAAACACCATAGTACTTATACACACACACACACACATTAAATGTAAAAATATTTTAAGATAGTGTAGCTAGCTCTGGTATTTATTGCCTTTCTAAGTATTATGCCTATACTTTACAGTAAAGTTCTGTGAGACCAGTTAAAATCTTTTTTTTTTTTTTTCCCAGTTTGGTGTGATTCTATAATCCTTTTTTTTTTTTTAATTTACTCATTTATTATGCTTGCATGTGTGCCACTACATCTCATTATAGATGGTTGTGAGTCATCATGTGGTTGCTGGGAATTGAACTCAGGACCTCTGGAAGATCAGCCAGTGCTCCTAACCTCTGAGCCATCTCTCCAGCCCCTAGAATCCTTATTTCTTAACTCCAAATCTCGTCTCTTCTGTGGTTCTCCATTCAGAAGCACACTTGCACCTAATAAATATATGAATAAAATCAGAATTCACTTGGTCAACTTGGCCTACGTAGCAAGTTTTAGGCCAACCAGAGCTACACATTCTGTCTTAAAACACACATACGTACACACGTGTATACATAATGAATGAATGGATGGGTGTGTGTGTGCGCGTGTGCGCGCGCGCATGTGGCCTGAGTTGTGCAGCTAAAAGAACTGTAAGCAAACTGCTAAAGTAGACACCATCTCCTGTATACTTTGGCTTGTTAAAATGCCTTCTCTGGCCACAGTTCTGTTAGGAACTTGAAGTTCTAGCTTTTCCCCACACTGAAGTGTTAGAGTCTTTATGTCCCTCCTCTCACTAACCTCTCAGAGTCTCATGTTTTTTATCTGAAGAGGTCTGCATTCTTACAGAAAACCACATGAGTACAATGGTGTGTGGGTTGTCACATCTGAGCTGGGCCTTGGACAAGATCAAAGATACAGAAGACTGTCTCTGTCCTCATGGAACTCATGAACTGGCAGAGGGCAAAGTCTGACCCAAGTTGCTAGAGCAGAAGGGAGCTGTATTTTGGTGAGGATTCAGAGTGCTGAAGAAACATGTCCAGTTCCTCCCTTTAAATATTTTACTCATTTTGACCTTAAGGTCTATTCAGTAATTAAGCTTAAAACCCCAATCACTAGTTCATCTTCACATTGACATCCCTTAATCCAAAACCATTGTTTTTCTCTTTTTTAAAGAAGAGTCACATTAATCCCAGCACTTGACTCTCTTGAATTCAAGGCCAGTGTGGTCTACAGAGCTAGTTCCAGGACAGCCAGGGCTACAGAGAAATCCGTCTGGGGGTGGTAAGGGTTTCTCATGTATCTGTAACTGGCCTATTCATTTGACATATAGATCTAACTTGTCCTGAGACTGACAGAGATCTGCCTGCCTCTGCCTCAGCCTCCCAAATGCTGGGATTAAGTCATGGACCACTACACCCAGCAAAACCCTAAAATGTATCCACGGCTTTGGATGTTAAAATGGCTCAGCAGGTGAAAGGGGGTTACCACCAAGCCCAATGACCTGAATTCAATCCACAAGACCCACTGAGTGGAAAGACAAAGATCCTCTGGTACATGTATTCACGTGTGTACCCATATACATACACACACATAGAAAAAATAAAATTTACCTACATCTTCACTGACATCTAACTTCAAAAAATGAGTGATCAAGACATACCACGAAACTCAGACTCTAAATTGCAGAAAAGAAGCAAGACAAAATACTAAGGAAATAGGATGTAAGCACTGAGACTTAACACCAGCCAGTTAGGTTTCTCTGTAACTACACTATCTAAGGTGATATGGGATGAAATGGCCTGCCCTACAAACCCAGCACTGTAGACATCGAAGGGCAAGTTCAGGGTTTCAGAGTAAGACCCTCTGTCAACAACCCTAATAAAAACATTCTGTCCTCTCTTGTCAGGGCTCTTCCAACAGCTTGTCTTTATTACCTCTTTTTACATTCTTCAGTTTTCTCTGAACAGCAAAGGGACTTTCCCCCCAGTACCGAGAAGGGTCTGGCATGTGCCAGGCAAGCACCGGACTACTAAACTATAGCCCCAGCTCTCTTGTATTTTGAGGCCATCTCACTAAATTCCTCAGGCTGCGCCAGATCTTTTAATCCTGTTGCCTTACCTCGGAGTGGCTGGGATTACAGGCCTGAGTCTTCATGTTGTCAAGCTATAGCAATTAGGTAACAAAATACAGCTCTGTCCTGAAAGCGCTTAGATTTTAGTAAGCAGAAAACAACTCAACACATATAATTAACGTACAGTTGGGTCAGAAAACAGCCTTCGAAAGAAAACTCGTGGGAGTGACCAGGGAAGGTGCGACCAGGCCGCGGTATTTGTATTTCTCAGTCGGACGTTACTATACCCTTTCCCCGTATTTCAATCTTTTGCTTCGAGCACTTTCCCTCGGGTTCACTGGCTCTTTCTTCACAGAGGGTGTCACTCCTGGAACCACTGTTCTCCCTTTTCACCTACCAACTTTTCGGCTATATTCTAGTCTTTTTCAGTTTTGTGTGGGCGTATATTTATTTCGGCGCGTACACGACTGGGCCCGTGGTGAAGTCAGAGGGCAAGTTGAGGAATTCTTTTTTTCTCCACGTGAGTCCCAGGACCCAACTGGGGTTGTTGAGGCTGGCGGCCAGCGCCCTCGCCCGCGGAGCCATCTCGTCGGCCTTGGGGCCATGCCCCTCGCGTTTAAGCACGGGTCACATTATAACCTCACACGCGCTCCTCGAGGGCGAGCTGAGGACCCGCCTCGCTCACTGTGAACTTCGCACCTACTAGGAACCTCTTGGGGCAGGCGTACCCCGGACAGATTCTATGCCGAGAGCACATTTTGTGGGACCGGGCCCGGAAGAGAAGTGTGGCGCACAGGAAACCGGAAGTCCCGTGCCTACACCGGGGGCGTGGCTTTCCGGCGAGCGCGGCTCGCCACTTGGCTCGGGTGCGCGTGCGCAGTGTCGGCGTTCTGGCGTGGATCATGGCGGCGCGGTCGCTGTGGGCGGTGCAGCGGCTGCAGCGCCTCCTGGCCTCCGGGGCCGTGTCGCAGAGCAGGTAAGAGGGGCGGCGGGGCCGGGCACGCCGCGGCGTGGCGTGGGCGCGGCGATGGGCAGCAGTGGAAAGGAAGGCGAGGGCTAGCTCGGCGCCCGCGAGGACCGACCTCAGGCCCCGTGACCCCGGCGTCCACGCCGCGGCTCTTGTGAGGGAGGCTGAGGCCCATAGGCGCGCCTTTCCCGGGCAAGGAAGATAAGGGGATCCGAGGCCGCGTCCAGGGAGGCGGGGACGCAACTCTTCCTAGCCCCTGCTCATACGTTTCTAACAGGGATACATTAGGGCTCTTGGTCCGGGTCCATGTGGTCTAGTCGCTGTCTCCAGCTCTCGGAGCATCGTTTACCTGTGTGTAAAAGGAGAGCATTGGACCGTTCTCCAAACGGCCTTTCCATCTATCTTAGGGATAGTCTGAAGGTACAGTTACCGTCAGTGGACTGCAGAGCTATGGACAGCCTCTTCTCATTATTTCATGTTTAATAGCTGACGAAACTAGGATCTAGGAAAATTTACCAACTTTTGCGAACAAATCTTAAGGAAGTTAACACGTCCAGAAACCAGTCGTGGTTCTCAAGCAGGTGTTTTTGTATTAATGAACACGGTTCATTATTTTCTGGGGATATTCCTAAGAAAGAATTACAACACAAACAAACAACAACAAAAAAGACAGTCTATGAGCTCGAGGACTCTTGACTTGTAAATTAGCTGCGGGGAAATCCAGGAAATTTGCATGGCCATTTGTCATTCTTCAATCTTGATGCACCTGACCTAACACACCCGCCCTACCAGAGCTGTGTCAACGATCAGGGCCTGGTGGTTTGTTTTCCTACCTTTGGCAGTCTGTTGGGTGAGGTAAGGAAATAATCAAAGAATAGTTCCTTCTGAAGAAGTAATTGAGCACTGGCCTCTTCTCTTCAAACTGTACGTTTTGGCCAGCTTTCTGTTTGTCCGGCATATATGTATGTGGTTTTCTAGGAGGGCTGGTCTTTGACCATGCATAATTTGCCCTAGATATATCTATGATAACTCTGTTTTCAGAATCAAGTATTTAGGAGCATGTATAATTGGATATCAGACCATAATAAAAAAAAAGACTAGCCTGAAAAGTCTGGGAAATAAAAGTTCCCTATCCTGTGTCTAAGCCAGCATTTCACTCTGCCTGGATTATTCTTATTAAAACAGGCTCCTCCTTTACCCCACCCCACCCCCTTAAGCCTTTGTTTAGATTTCTGCCATCTCAGTGACCACTGTTCAGTGTATGTGGGTTCCTATATAATAAACTCTTTGCTTTAAAAAGGTCTTGGAAGCATAGATTGACCACCCTGGTAGTTTTTCACTTGAAATAATTAGTGGGATCTAGGAGGCATAATGAAATATTTTACTAAAATTTACTAAAATACCAAATATTTTAGTAAGAGCAAGGGCCCATAGTAGCCAAGGAATTTTTTTTTTTTTTTCTGTTTTTAAATAAAAGTTGTATTGCGAAGTCAACTGGCAGGGAAGACAGGAACAGAAAGCTTTTATCTCTTTCCCTGGTCAATTGATGGAGGAAATATATAGGGAGAGAGAGGCTATTTCTCATTTAGATGGTGAAAAGGAGAAAGATCTAGGGTCCTTTTGTGCCATTGTAGATGTCATTGTGCCTCTTCACAAGTCATGTGCTTTTTAGGTGGTGATTATGTTTTTGTGCTTAGGATTTTGAGCTTGTGATATCAAATGTCATTAGTAAGCAAACTAGCTTTTGGGACTGTCCATTTTTAAAAAGCCTGTTTGAACCAGGCATTGGTGGCACAAGCCTTTAATCCCAGTACTCAGGAGGCAGAGGCAGGCTGATCTCTGAGTTCAAGGCCAACCTGATCTACAGAGCTAGTTCCAGGACAGATTCCAAAGCAATACAGAGAAACCCTGTCTCAAAGAAAGAAAAGGAAAAAAGCCTTTTTGAAACTGCCCTTCAATGGATCCTGAAAGCAATTCCTGAAAGACAACTTCAAATGCTTTGTTAGTTAAGGAATTTATGTCCTGTTGTTGTGATGTTTCATTAGCTATGTAAAATTTTATAATATATAACTAGTTAAACAAAAACTAATTGACTAAAATAAGGTTCTGTTTGAATGACCTGTTCAGTCCAGAGTCTACCAGTCATAATTTCTCTTTCACAGCTCAGATTTTCCTCCCTTACTGTATGTGACCACTAAGTCTCGAACTTCTGAGTTGCTTTTACTCATTTTCCCCTTCTATAAGATAAAGAGTTAGACCAGAACTCTATAACTGTGTGGCTTCCTGTTGTTAAATAGCCTGGCTTAACAGAACATTAGCTCTGTGTATGCATTTCTTTTGTTTGTTTGTTTGGGGATGGTTTTGTTGTTTGGTTTGGTTTGAGAGACAGGGTTTCTTTGTGAAATAGTCCTGTCTTGGAGCTCACTTTATAGTCCAGGCTGGCCTGGAATTCTCAGAGATCCACCTGCCTCTGCCTCCTGAGTGCTGGGATTAAAGGCTTGTGCCAACACTGCCCTGGGGTACTTGTTCTTTTGAGGCAGGCTTTTACTGTGCTGCCAGAAAGACCCGCCCTATATCAGCATCCTAGTACCTGAGATTACAGGTAGTCACTTGCAACTTTGCCCAGTTTACCTCTGTAGTCTTGAACAAGTCATTAAACCTCAAGCCCAAGCCTCCCATCTTGAGTTTTTTTCATCAGTAAAGTAGGATTTATTGTGAGGAGATGAGAAGGCCCTCAGTGAGTGAAGTTCTAAGGGAATGATTGCACTGACATGTGTGAGCCATGTCAAAATTCCAGAGTCTCAGACCCACAGAGGAATGGCAAAACCTTCCTTCCGGAGTGAGAGATGGGGGCATGGTGCATTTGGTGGGCAGAATGCAAGTGTTAATAATGTCTGCAGGAAAGATCTACTATAACATTCTCCCTCACTGGATGAGTACAGCATGAAGACTGCTCCCCTGCAGAGATTATTTCTACTGACATTAATTTGATCCAGCTGTACACCACAGCCCTGCCTCCTTGTTTATCTGTGTGTAATAACCTTGCCTCCTTGTTCAACTTTATGCAATAACTTCATCTTTCTGTGCAATCTATATAACAAACTATATACAATCAGAGCTTCCAGGGTGCTGGTTTCTCCAGTGAGAAGCCCTAACTACCTGATCCCAGCTTTCCTTCTGTCTGTCTTTTCTTCACATTCTCACCACCCTAGTCATCCATCTTTGGAGCTCTGCTGGATGCAGCAAGTGGTGCCCAACCAGGGACATGGACAGTGGCTTAAGGAAACTCTCATTGGTCAAGTGAGGAAATACTTCCAAGAAAAGTATGTTTGTGCTGGTAAAAGGGGGGAAGAAGATAAAGAGAAAGAAACAAAATAAGAAAGACATAAGGATAAAGGAACAAAGGGAGAGAGGGCATGGCAAGTGTCAAGTATAATACGGGACAAAGAGACTCTAAAGATAGGCAATTATATTTCAGTTCTTAGAGATTTTTGAGAAATCCTGGAAGCAGGGTAAAAACATTGCAGCGCCATCAATGTATATTTAGAAGACAGGTATCTCTTGACAGGTTCTTTTCATTAGCAGCCCAAGTTGATACTACAACGCACACCCCCTCCAGCCCATGGGAATTTCTTTCCTGGATAACTTGACCATCAGAGAAACTGGTCTATAGATTAGTAGATTAGTGGCCATTTGGCAGTGTCAGATAGGGTGTTCACAGCAACCACTGCTTTGGTAGAAAAACCATGCAGATCAAATACACAGACTGGGCCAAATGCTCTTGGAACACCCAATTCTTGTTACAAAAAAGAGATAGGGTAAATGGAGGATTGTTACAGGGTTTAAGAACCATAAATAAAGTCATACATGCAGGCAGTAGGTCCCTATAGCCAGGACTGCCATCATCTGCTACACCATTACGTTTTCATTAATTAACGTAGAATATTTTTGCTTCTTTTCCCATCAGTGTTTATGGTGACATCTCCTGTGTACTCAGAATAATGCAAGCTTTGTAGATGGCTACACTGGTCAGAGCCTGGTTCCAGAGTTATACCACCTTTTACACAGAACCCAGGAACTCTGTGTCACCACCAGAGTTCTTGCTATATTGATCATATTCAGTTGCATATCAGTCTCCCTCAGCCATTGGCTTGAAGATCTCAGGATCCCTGCTCTGTTTCTCTGTTGCTGTGGAGCCCAGCTTAAGACAAGCTCATTTTAGTCTGTAGGTAGACTTTTTCATTGCCAGCCCACTTCCGAATATCCACACAGAGAGCTCAGGCTTGTTACTAGCTAACTCCTACATTTTAAATTTATCCATTTTTTCGTATCTATGCTGTGCATGGCTCGATAACTTTTCTCAGTAGGGCAAGTTCATCTCTCTGTGTCTCCTCGAGATTCTCAGACTCCGCCCTTCTTCCATTATCCTCTTTGTTTGGTTCTCTCGCCTAACCTTATTCTGTCTAGCCATAGAACAGTCAGCTTCTTTATTAAACCAATCACAATGATATGTATTCACACAGTGTAAAGGAATATTCCATAATAGTCATGCTCTGTACCACCAAAAATGCTACCTCTTTACACAGTGAACAGGCGAGGCAAATAGTTAAGCAGTGTGATCAATGTTTTCCTTTTCAGCCCATCACACAGGAAGTGTTGACCCCAGAGGGTTATGGCCCAGTGCTCTCTGGCAGATGGATGTTACTCATGTCTCTTCCCTTGGGAAATACAGCTTGTGTGTGTTTAATGCTGATACCTATTCTCAGTTTACTCCTCTTCGCATGGGAGGCTGCAGAATATACCGCACTGCTTACCTGGAGCAAATGGTTTAAGAGGAAATGGTATATGATGTGAGAAGTACAAGCCTTTTTATGGTGACAAAGATGTGGCTTTAGAATTGGTTGACTCTGGACATAGTAAAAATGTTTGAATTGTACACTTTAAATGGCAAATTGTATGGCATGCCAATTATTTTTTAGTGCATGGGAGCTTTGCCTGCATTATGTCTGTACCACCTGCATGCCTGCTGCCCACAGAAGCCGGAATGCATTAGATCCCTTAGAACTGGAGTTACAGGTGGTTGTGAGTTGCTGGATGGACGCTTGGAATTGAATCCAAGTCTTCTGAAAGAGCAGTCAGTGCTCTTAACTGCTGAGCTGTTCTTCTCACCTTAAAGCTATTAGTTTAAAGAGCACTTTAAAATCTAGTCATGTTTCAGATGTTGGTCAATAAAAACATGAGGCAGATGAAGTAGAAAAGTGCTGAGGAAGGACTTTGTAGCATTTGTCACCAGGACTGAATACTGGAGAGCTTGGGCTCTAACTGCTGTAGTTTGCCTTTGTATCGTGGCATTTTTTTCATTATGTGCCACTACCCTACCCCACCCTCTTAGGGGATGGCTACACCCATTCAGCACTGCTACCCAAAGAACTGCTGGGGAAGACTGCAGTTCTGAGGACCCTCCTGATGTACTCGGTCCCTCCCTTGCTGAACAAGCCTTAAGACTAAAAGCTGTTAAACTGGAAAAAGAAGTTCAGGATTTAACAGTAAGTAGTCGATTTTATATTATTTGTTGTTTATTTTCTCTGGTTTGAATGTTCAAGCAAAGTGTGTGTGTGTGTGTGTGTGTGTGTGTGTGTGTGTGTGTGTGTGTGTGTGTATGAGTGTGTGTGTGTCTGTGTTGGTGGTGTTGTTTATTAATTAACTTTAGGCTGGCATGGTTCTGGACCCCTCTTTGTCCATTGTTCTCTTGCTGGACCTATTGGGAGGAGAAACATCTGTGGTTTTTAAAAGGCCACTTGCTAAGGATGGTGCCTTGTTTTGGTTCCTTCCCTCTTGTTTCACAGCACTCAGCTGATGGTTTAGCAGTTCAAGGTTGTACAGTGCCTGTCAGGTGATAGAGAATAAATATTTGCTGGGTGTGTGAGGTCTTTGTACTCTGGTAATCAGAGAACATCTGACTTACTGGACACAGTCATGATTAAGCACAATGAGAAGAGGTAGCTAAAGCAGAGCAAAGGACTGCAGGGTGCTGGGAAGTGTGTCTATGAGAGCAATTAAAGAAACTAGGAACCAAAGAGAAAACAGGATGAGTTAACTCCAGACAGGGTTTCTCTGTGAAACAGCCCTGCTTGTTCTGAAACGCACTTTGTGGCCACGAACTCACAAAGATCCGCCTGCCTCTGTCTTCTGAGTGATAGGACTAAAGGCACGTGCCACCACTATCCGGCTTTTTTAATAGATTTATTTATTATGTATACAATGTTCTGTCTGCATGTTTTGTATGCAGGCCAGAAGAGGGCTTCACATCTCATTATAGATGATTGTGAGCCACCATGTAGTTGCTGGGAATTGAACTCAGGGCTTCTAGAAGAGCAGAAAGTGCTCTTAACCTCTGAGCCATCTCTCCCGCCTCGGTGATAGGTTTTTTAAAACTTATTCTTTGTCATATGAGAGTACAAGTCAGTGAAAGAAAGGTTGGCAGTATTGCCTAAATGTGAAGCTGTTTTCTCTGGATAATGAACTGAAACCGATGTGTTCAAGCTAGTTGGAATTACTTACAATCTACAGAAGAGTAAATAGATTACTGCTTTGGAAATTTGGAGAGCAGCCAGTCTCAGACTGTTTGTTTGCTTTTAAACAACTACTGGTTTTATTGGAGACCGAACCCAGGCCCTTGTGCATGCTGAGAAAGTGCACTGAGCTGTATCCCTGCCTCTTATTACAAGGGCAAGATTTTATAAAGTAAAAGCATTCTTTCCCACTGATTTCTCATTGATTTTCTTTTTGGTATTTAGCTGAGATACCAGAGAGCTGTTGCTGACTGTGAAAACATAAGGAGACGAACCCAGAGATGTGTGGAAGATGCCAAGATATTTGGTGAGAGATAATTCGTAATAGAATAAATTTAGTTGAAGGGCAGGCACTTTGTAAGCATGTCTGTAAACTGATCATAGTAGAATACATCTGAAGATGTCCCCTAACTGATTAATCCCATGCTTCCCACTATCCATACCCACAGCCTTTCCCTGCTACACCTGGGAATGGTGTCATGTTAACCATTGCTATAATAATGCTGGCCTTTTTTTTTTTTTTTTTTTTTTTTTTTAAGGGTATACAGTTACTACATTTCCAATGTTCTAGTGTATATAGAAATAATATTTTTAGTACTTAATGAACCAGCGAATCATTCAGACATTTAAGAGGAAAATCCAAAGAGCAGTGCCTAACTAGGAATGCTAAAGTTTTCTTAATGTAAGCAACATTGGTCTGTATGCATAGGATTACTTTCTTGCTGTCAGTACTCTGTAAGTCAGTGATTTAAAACAGTCTGAAGAAAGCTAAAACATGTGTGTGTTTGTGTGTGTGTGTGTCTGTACGTACGTACACATGTGTGCATCGTATCCAAGTTTATAGCAAGGCTTAGCAAACCATAACCAGCTGCCAGTTAGTACTTTTGAATTTCTTGATTTTTTTTTTTCTTTAAATCCATATAAACTTATTTTCTCTTTACCTACAGAACATAAAATCCATGGCTTTTGCCTCTTGTCCCACAAACCCTAAAATGCTTACTGTGTGGCTTTTTACAGAAGAAAATTGTTGGCTGCTGTGCTGTGGAAATGTCTGTTGCAAGTAGAACAGTTTTAGCAGTGGGGAACTTCTGATGTTCCACCTACTTGATGAGCAAGATGGATGGACACCAGAAGTCAAGCTTTGAGTTAGAACTAGTTTACTGTGAGTTTACTCAAGAAATGGTAAGACATCTGGGAACAAATTCATGTTGACTAACTACCAAAGAGTTTGGTAGTTGCCCAGTTTATTAACTTAAAACAGTATATGTCTAGGCAAAAATACTACAGAAGTCATTTTTCTATGGAGCTTCCCCTTAGTGGCCTGAGATACTTAAGAAACTGAAGGGGGGTTGGAAAGATAGCTCAGGAGGTTGAGAGCATTTACTGCTCTTCCAGAGGTCCTGAGTTCAATTCCCAGCAACCACATGGTGGCTCACTACCATCTATAATGAGATATGATGCCCTCTTCTGGCTTGCAGGCACACATGCAGATAGAATATTGTATACATAGTAAATGAATCTTTTTTTTTTTTTTTATTTTTTTAAAAAAGAAAAGAAACTGAAGGGTTTGCATGGAGGGAAAAGGAAAGGATAATGGATTTTTTGTTTATAATGGATATATCATGACAACTGTCTGACCTCCTTGCAAGCGTAGTTTTAACTCAGTGTTCTGTCTTCTTGGTCACAAAGATGAAGCTTTCCCCAAGAGATTACATAGCTACCAGCTACCACCTATTTTTAAAAAAATAATAATGATAATAAATTGAGACTTGGGAGATGGTTCATAGGATAAATTACTTTGCAAGCATGAAGTCCTGAGTTTAGATGCTCAGAATTCATGTAGGAAAAAAGTCAGGTGTGTGACTAACCCAGTGCTGGTGCGAGGGAGACAGGCAAATCCTGGAAGCTCCCTGAACTCTGTTTGAGTGAAATGTCTAGCTCTGTGAGTAATAAGAGACTCTCTCCAAAAAAACTAGAGCAAACTATCCATTGTTGACCTATCACTCCCACCTGTGTGCACATACAGGCAAATGTGCATACATCACACACAAAATAATGAGAATGCAATAAAAAAAATCTCTTCCTCGGTGTACCAACAAGAACTTTGGCTTCTGTTTAACCAAATTTCCACTACTTCCCTGAAGAAAGATCTCCTCTGGGAGTACACAGGTCAGCACAGAAGCTTGCTGCTTTAAAACTTCTACTGGCTGGCTGAAAATGTAGCTGAGGGCCAGAGCATTTACATAGCATGAGCAGAGCCTTGGGCTTGTTCCCCAACACTGAAAAACCCAAGGTCTGTTCTCTTCAGGGCTGTTTCCTGGAAGTACCTTTTGCTCACCCTTCCCTACCTCCTCTCCTACCCTAAACTAGATGATGCCACATTTCCTCACTTGACACTGGCATTTTTTCATTCCTTATGAACCCATCTGCATGCCTGTAAATCAGTTGGTATGTTGCCAGTATGCTGCTGTTGGACGTGTGTGTCACCGTTTTCCTCAGGAAGCTCTACTGGGTCTGGTATCCTGGGAAATTAAAGGGAGAATTCCTTCCTCTCCTTTGGTCTCTCCCATCTGGTCAGTTTTCTCAGGTCACTCTGTCAATGTTTTTTTTTTTTTTTTTTTTTTTTTTTTTATTGCTTAGGTAATAATAGTCTAGATGGCTGCCCCTTTTGACATAGCTCTAAACCTGTCCATAGATAAGAGTCTATACTTCTCACTAACCCCTACTGGGTACTATGCCGTAGATGTTCAATGTAGTCATTACTTGTCCCAACAGGAATAGGAACTGTGGGATCTCTCAACACCTGAGTAGTTTATATTTACCTGTAACAGTTCACAGTGCTCTCTAAAAGGCTTCTGTGGACCTTTCCCGGCATCTCCATAAGGACACTCACCCCATCCATAAGTGTACCTCACCTTCCTATCTAGCCAGTCTCCAACCAGTGGCTCTTAACATCCTTAGCATAGTGTTGCCTTTTCTTATTTTATGCACTCTACCCCCACTCTCTCAGTGAAATATTCCTAGCTTATCTCTTGAGGGTGGCCTTTGCACAACTAAGATAAGCCTGTTTTTAGTCTATTTTATGTAGACTCGCTTAGCCCAAGCTGTATCTCTTCTTAGTTTCCCAGTAGGATTCGTGGAGACAGACTTTGCTAAAAGGACACTGACTTGTCAGTTGAGCTTGTATGGTTGAGCTGATCCCCAAGTCCTGTACTAGCCACACCTCTGGGCCTCCTCTAGATCCTAACCCTAAGGACAGCATTGTTCTCAGACATGGATCTTGTTTCTCTGCAGGAATCCAGAGCTTCTGTAAGGACTTGGTGGAAGTGGCAGACATTTTGGAGAAGACTGCTGAGTACTTTTCAGAAGGATCCAAACCCGAGGACCACAAGCTTACTCTGGAAAAAGTCTTTCAAGGACTGTCCCTTTTAGAAACAAAGCTGAAAAGTGTGTTTGCCAAGCATGGCCTAGAGAAAATGACACCCATTGGTGACAAATACGACCCTCATGAGCATGAACTCATCCGTCACATGCCAGCAGGTGTTGGGGTACAGCCTGGCACTGTGGCATCAATACAGCAAGATGGCTACAAACTTCATGGCCGCACCATTAGACTTGCCCAAGTGGAAGTGGCAGTGGAGTCTCAGAGAAGGTCATGAGCAAGCCACCAGGAACTAGAACTCCAGGGCCCCGCGCCCATGTCTCCTTTATTTATTAAGCTGGTTTGTATTATACATGAGGTCCTTCGTGTGCTCCGCTTTGGATTTAGTCATATTGGCTTTATCTCTACAATATCTTATTGGTTTTATGTGACTTGTCTCATCAGAAGTCCTACCATTGGGCATTTGAACAATGTGGCAAGTGTCCTATGGCCTTTACCAAAATGTTTACAAAAATCATTTAAATTGGTACTCTGATGACTGAATCCAAAATCTGTATCTGTGTTTTCAACTACTTACTGGAATTAGTACAGAATCCTGTGTCTTATATTTTATGGGAAAAGGAGATGGTGGGGATTGGTTTGATATTTAGGTACTTAGATGACAAAGCTTTACCCATGTATAAATTTAAATAATTTGGGTTGACTTGTAGAGAGATATTTCAAGGCTTCTTCTTTATTTCATTTAGTCATCTTTTGTACTTGTATTCCCTGTTAAGGATCACACTTAGATTGTTCTTAGCCACCCGTTCTGGTCCCATTTGGAAGGGCTAAAGGGTCCAGCCAGTCTTCCTATTTTCTTGTTAGTAAGGTATACTCTTTTATTAAACTGGTCTCAAGTCTGTGAACAGGCAAGGGGGGCCCAGACGTAGTGGCTGGCCAGTCAAAATCCCAAACAGTATCAGGGTGGATGATTTTTTGCAGTACACAATTTACACAAAAGTAATGCTGCCCTCTCCCTTTCGTGCACTCAGAATGAACTAGGCCATCCTCTTTTCCACATTAGGGTGTGGTGCTGCTCTGGAGAAGACAAAGGACTTCCTGTAGCAACAGCAATAAAATACAATCAAAGTCCTTGGCCACATTGTAAAACTTTGGGGACACTTACCCCAATCAGCTGCTGTCACCTTCTCCATTCCAGTTTTTAAATACTCAGTCAAAAGCACCCAAAATAAATATATAAATATACATATATATACATATATATGTATGTATGTATGTATGTATGTATGTATAAATGACAAAAGAAAAAGTTGTTTTTGTTGTTTTTCCCCTGCACATTTTGTCAAGAAAAGGTGTGAGCACAACTCTTTTGTTGTCTGCCAAGAGTCATTTGTAATGCATAAAGGGCCATATTCCTTGTACTCCTTGCTGAACCATACCTGCTGGAAGGTAGATGGCAAGGCCATGGTGGAGCTGCCCATCCACACAAAGTACTTGCACTTGGGGAGCAATAACGTTGATCTTCATGGTACTAGGAGCCAGGGCAGTGATCTGCATCCTGTTTTAGTCAAAGCCTAGGTACATGACAATACCGACAGGGAGCACTGCATTAGCATAAAGGTCTTTGCTAATATTTACTTAATGATGGAATTGAAGGTAAGTTTATGGACTCCATAATATTCTGCACCCAAAAAGGAAGGAAGGCTAGAACACCTGCAGGCAGCAGAATTGGTATTTGCCATGGTAATGATGACCTGGCCATTGGGCAGCTCATAACTCTTCTCCAGGAAGAAGGATGCAGCAGCAGGCATTCCTTACTTGGCTATGGCAAGGTTGTAGCCACACTTCCTGGAACTTCATGAGTAATCTGTAAGGTCTTATCCAGCTGAATCCAGACAGAAAATGAGGTAAAGATAGTTTGTGTGTGTGCGCGCACGCGCGCCTAGCCCACTGAGTTTAGACACAAAATGGTGTATGGGTAATTCCTGTGGATGGGCACTCTGTGTGTGTGTGTGTGTGTGTGTCTCCCCGCCCTCTAGACAAAATGCTTTGTGGGCAGTTACTATGGATGGGCACTTTGTGTGTGTGTGTGTGTGTGTGTGTCTCCCCGCCCTCTAGACATAAAATGCTGTGTGGTAGTTACTATGGATAGGCACTGTGTATTGTGTGTGTGTGTCCCTGCCTCCAGAGACCATCATGAGGCTGGTGGCACTGTCACAGTTGTATAGACAACACAGCCTTGGTGACTGTGTGTGGCTGGGGTGTTGATGTTCTTGAACATGATCTGTGTCATCTTTTTATGACTGGTCTGTGGTTCAGGGAGCCTTGGTAAGCAGTGAGTGCTCCAGGGCCACACCTGGCTCATTGTATAAGGTGTGGTATTCTCTCTGTTATCCAAGTTGGTGACCATACTGTCCTCCATGGGTACCTCAGATGAGGATGCTTCTTTTGGTCCAGGCCTTGTTGCCCACCATCACACCCCAGTGGGCAAAACACCACGGAAGCAGGAGAGCACCTTGGAAGCATCCCCGCCTATGAAGGTAGCTTTTTAGATGATGGAGCCAAAGCAGTGATACCTGCTTCCATAGCAAAAGGTAGCAGGTGGGGACGCAACATGAAGTAGCTGAGAGAGACCTGTGTGTGCCTGGTGAACGTGGATTCTACAGACCGTCTTCCCTTATAAGCAAAGAGTTATTTCCAGCCCCTTGGGTATGAAGTAATTTTAGGCAGGCAGTACTAACAGCAATGACCCAAACACATTTGTATAGGTAATTACCTACAATGGCAGGTTCCATCAATGCTGATGCCTTTGTCAGATTTACCCTGGGATCCTATATTAGATTGTATGGGGAGGCGATGGACAAAAATGCTGAGTTCCCATGAATTTCATTTAATAATGTTGAACTATGCCTTTTCCCCCCTATGGTTGAGATTCACAGATTACTACCGCTCATATCAACATCCTTAATTTGTGTTTTTAGAGCACTGGGGATTGAATGCAGGGTCTCTAGAATGCTAGGTAAACACTATACAATTGAACTCTGCTCCTAGCCCTGACAAGCTTGGTTTCGTAGTTTTTATATCCATCTTAAGCTGTATTTGTGTGAACATCTATATCCTCTTTTATGTATTAACCTTGTAAACTTTTATAAACCTGTATATTTTTTACATCTTGATATCTGATGCAGTATAAAAGATTTGTCCAGTAAATAATGAATGAATGATACATGGGATAAATTTTATAAAGTTTACTTTACAAAGAGGTCTTACTGACACAGGAGAAAATAAGTTGATGTAAACATGCCTAGGAAATACTAAGTTACACAAGTAGTATTTAACCAAAGGAGTACTCTGGTCCTTGCCGGGCAGTGGTGGTGCATGCCTTTAATTCCAGCACTCGGAGGCAGAGGCAGGCAGATCTTTGTGAGTTCAAGACCACCCTGGTCTGTACAAGAGCTAGTTCCAGGACAGCCTCCAAAATGTAGTACTTAGGTTCTCTTAGCATAACCTTCCCAGGCAGACAGGACAACCTTGGTTAACAGCTGCCTGGAAAAAGCAGTGCTGGTCTGTCTGGGATAACCATGCAAATATTTTACATTGTAAATTTCCCTATTTGTCCAAACAACTAAACCTTGTCACTTCTGGCTCTGTGAAATGGTGGCTAATGACTCAAAGGATACCTTGGAACCAGGAAATGATACAGGCTAACGGCTTTCTGTTGAGAACTGCCTCCCTATTGTGCATTAGGCAGAAGTAATGTTCCTCTTAGTGATGGAGTGAATTCTCAGTGGGAAGGCACGTCCATTCTATAACAACTTTACCCTTTCTGTTTAGGACTGGACTCAAGAAGCAGCCCTTTGGATTACAAATTAAACTGGCAGAAATTGAATGAGTGGGAGGAAAACCAGATTCCATTGTGTACATGAACATAAGAGTCATGCAAAATCTGAGAGTCGGTGCCCAAAAATCGGTGTTTCAATCATATCCTGACCTATGAACAGGGCTTAGGTCTTCAGGAAAACAGAAAACCATGATGAGTAAGAGTGGTCTCATAGGCGTTGTCGGGAGAAGAACTTTGATAAAAGTTCACCAATGTAGATTTCCCTTTTCAACTCAGACATTAAAAAAGCAAAGTCAGTCTCAGCTACTCCTGTGACTGCATTTTCCCAAAATAAAAACCAGTACAATATATAGCAAAGGCTATTTTGAGGTGACATTCTGACCTCAGACCTCCAGTCATATTTTCAGGTGGTAAATTAACCCTCAAGAGTGTGAAGCCATCCTCCTTTGGCCTCCACCAAATCTAAACACTTGGGCAAAGATAGGACTTAGAGATGGTATAAAGTGTACTAGGAGCAGTAAATATATTTTAAAAATTGTTTCTATCTTCTGTGCATTGGTGTTTTGCCTGCATGTGTATCTGTGAAGGTGTTGAAACTCCTGGAACTGGAGTTACAGACAGTTATGATCTGCCATGTATATGTTGGGAATTGAAGCCAGGTCCTCTGGAAGAGCAGCCAGGGCTCTTTAAAAACTATTTTTATGGCCATATTTTAATGTATACCTTTTGGCTCCATGTATTTCTGCACCGTGTGCATGCCTGGTACTTGTGGAGGCCAAAAGTGGGCATTAGATTTCCCTGGGACTGAAGTTAGAAATGGTTGTAAATTACTATGTGGGTGTACTTGAAAGGTATTGTTTACTGTAGGCTGTGGTTAAGAGCATTCTGACTGCTCTTCCAGAGAACCCAGGTTCTGTTCCCAAGACTGCACTCAAAAGATTCTCTTGGCAAGGCATTATTTTACCACACCACTAAGTGCCTATTGTAAATTTTTGGAGCAGGGAAATTCCACAATACAAGTTTGCCCCCTTTCCCCTTCATTTCTACAAGATTGACAGATGGAAACAATGAGAAAATGAGCCGTGTATATTTTGGAGTTACTAGCTGTCATTGCCAGTGAACTAGAATGGAGTTCTGTTATCTAAAGAGTGTTCTGATCTTTCCATATATTTTTGCAAGTAGGCCAATGTTAGGGTCTTTCATTATTCTGTAATTTTGCAGACTTAAATTGTCAATTCAGAATGAAATGAAGCTGTAATAGCAGAAAGCTCAAAGGGGACCAGAGAGCCAGAACAGTGTAGTAGAGCTCAGGCTTGGTAGGCATAGACTTTGAGGACAGTTCAGGTACCTGTGACTTCTCCATGTTTATAATGGTTATAATACATGATACTGTGGGGATCCCATGAAACTCCAGGAGTCTCTCCTGTTCTAGTGCCTAAATTATCACATGGTTTTTCTTGCATTTTTTTGATTGCCTAAAGCATAGGGAAAAGGGAAGACTAGTTAAGTGGTTCTATTAAAAATAGTGAGTTGTGTGTGGGCAATGGTGGCCCACACCTTTAATCCCAGCACTAGGGAGGCAGAGGCAGATGGGACTCTATGAGTTCCAGGCCAGCTTGGTATACAGAGTGAGTTCCAGAACAGTCAAGGATACAAAAAAAAAAAAAAAAAAAAAAAACCTGTCTCAAAAAAACAAAATAACAATTTATTGTGAGCTAACCTGCTGTGACCTTTGTGGCTTGGGTCTGGAACCCTGGCTAGGGATGGTGAGTAAATGAAGATTGGACAGACACACAGTGAAATCTGGATCAGGTGGGATTTTCTAATGCTGCCGCTACTATTGGGTGTTCATTAGGTACAGCATG